TTTGGCAGATTTTGCTCATAGTTAAATTCCGTATTAAAATCCAGTTTTTCAATAGCTTTTGACTATGTATAAAAACAAGCCGTAGGCTCTTCTGATAGAGCACGAGTCGATATTTATTTTGAGTACGTCTGCTTAAGGTAAACGCAACTTTGAAGAAGAATACTTAGGGTTTTATTAAAATAATAAAAACATACTCGAAAGATAGAACTGCTTTTATGAACTATCTGCATATTCAACTAAGAATAAACAAATTTATCTTGAAGAGCATTCAAGGTTCGTCTTAGCCCAGTTTACTCGGCACTTTCTTGTTGTTTTGCTATTGCAATGCGGCGCCTTAATTAAAAAGCTGCATGCCGCTTTACAGCGCGCTCAGTGCAGTTGGATCAATGGGTACTGAAAGAGCTCAAAACGGGTCTAGGGGCGGTACGGCACCACGGCATATAGAGGGTTTTACTAGTGCGAAACAGCGGCAGTACTTGTATTTATGACTTGGCACGCAGCGCGGGCATGATTTACAGTTTATTGAGAGAAACAAAGCGAGCGCCAAGAATTAGCCGCAATGGCTCATCAATCACTTGAAGGGAGGGAGCAGGGCGAATGAGAGAGCTGCCTGCCAGAACGAGGTCCACCTTTTTAGCCGTAATCCTTTCGGGGCACTTATGACTCGACTCAACTCAACTCGAATCGACTCGGCTCGGCTTTATGGTCATATTATGCTTAATAAAGCTGCCTTTCATTTTTTTATTTTTCCTCTTCCTTTTTTTTTATCTGTGTATCAGAGTTTTATCTGCGAGTCGCGTCATAATGGAGCACAGCCATTGAGCAGGCGCTTTGCTCCTGGAGCTGCGAGCGCGTGATTTATGTGATTACTTCAATGCGGCGGCGTTGCGCCAAAAAATATATATATATATCTATAGAAATATGTGAAAATACATCTAAAATAAGCAAAAAAGGAAGCAAAATCAAACAAACAGCCCAGTAAGAAACGAGAGCTAGATACATAAAAGTATCTCACACATAGAGAGCGGGCCACAATTTAAGTACGTTATAATAAACTGAGACCATAAAATGGACATTGACTGCAAACATTTTGCGGTTGCAAAATTGTCGTCTGTCGTCAGCAGCAGAGCAAATAAACACATTTATATGCATATATATATACCAGCATTCTATATATAAAGCTCAATATATTATTGTTGCTTTATTTTATTACAATTAACACTTACAAACAGGCGTTCCAGTAGGATTCAACAATGTAGAAGGAGATCTACAGATTAAGAGGGACGAAGAGAGATAGAGAGAGAGGTCCCTTTCTGTCTTTGAGTGAGGTATCTCTCTCTCTCTCTCTCTCTGAGAGAGCCCCTTTCCTCTTTGAGGGAGGTATCTTTCTCTCTTTGGAGAGTCTTTCTCTCGTAATCCCTAGATTTCCTTCTAAATCTTTGAGAGAGCTCTTTCTCTCTCTTACTCCTTCAATCTATAGATCTAGAAAGAGACAAAGAGAGAGATGTGCATCTCCACTCTTCTGGCTCTCTTCCAACGCTGTCTTTCTTTCTCAATCTCTCTTTCTCCCTCTCTATCTCTCCAGTTTTGTGTCTTTCTCTAATTTAAGCCTTTTTCTCTCTGTGACTCCATCAATTTGCATTATTTAATTGTGTGTCGACTTCAGTCAATCTTCTTCCTCTCCTTCTCTCGATCATACTCAATCTTTCAAAGTAAAACACAAATTGCCATATTCTGGGAATATTTTCAAAGTTTTTCGCTACATTATTATTTCCAATCAATGTTATTTAATCAATGCCTTGACTGATAGCTCATCAAATTTGCAGTTTGACAGATTTGCTATGCAGACACCCACACACACAGACACACATACACATGCACGTGTTCGCCGCTAGGTGGCGCTTGCACTGGCAGGATTTGCCAGTTTGTTGAATATAGTTGAATATTTATAATATGCACACAATATGCTGCCATTATGTTTGCATGATCTGTCAATCTAGCCAATTGCCAAGGCACGCCCCGCTGCCTTAAAAAAGAAAACAGATGGAAAATGGAGAAAAGCAAAAGAAAGGCAAAAGGCAAAAGAAAAAGCAAGCGTAAAGTGCTGCTATCTATTTATATCGCTTTTGGCTTTTACCAGCCAGCAAAAAAGAAACGCTGAAAACTACTAACGAACGACACCTGGAGGCGCCGCCAGCTGCGACAGCCGCACCTGGCTTGGGCCACTAGCGTGTGCCGCCTTTTTCGCTTCTTGCTGTTTGCATTGCATTTGTTGTCCGTTTTTTGTTTTTTTTTTTTTTTTTTGGCTTTTTGTACCTATTTTTTCCAGTGTTGCGATACATACACCGAAATTGTTGCTGCTGCTGCTGCTGCTGCTGCTGCTGCTGTTGCACGAATGTTGTAAATCAAAAGTAGGCGAGTCACACGAAGCCTTCTCCAGCTCCCTCTCGAGCTGCAGCGCCTATTTGACTGGCAGGCCGAGCGGATAACGCTGGCAATTATCGCGCTTGTGTTGCACGAACAGCGGAAGCGGCAGAGGCGCCATCATGTACCCTTACCCACTCCAACCCTTACTCATCCCCGCCCGCCGCCAAAAAAAAATTGAAACCAAGCGAGCGAGCGAGCCTACTATTGCCTTTACCTCGTTGCCATCTTTTTGTGCAATGCAATTGTTAACAACAAAAAATAGAAATAAGTAAGTAGAGCTATCTTCACGAAGTCAACGCTTAAATACTCTTAACTGCGACATATTTACGACAGCTGTCAGCTCTATGTACTGTGCTGCAAATCCTTCAGATTTCAAACTCTTTTATTTCTTTTTATTGCATTATTTATATTTCATTATATTTTCTATTGCATCTAAGTCCCTCTGTGTCTCTCTGTGCCTTCATGGAACCAAATCTTTCAAAGCTCTCATGTGTACATACATTCTGCCTTATTTTACAGAACCATGTAGAAGTCTTTATCTATATATCAATATGTCTATATATTAATCATAACTTTTAAAACTTTCAGAGGATCTACTTTCAAGTAGTTATTTTCAGGTATGCGACTAATTATAATATTCACAAAGATGTTAAACCTTGTTAAAGAAGAAATACAATTATATGCAAAAAGATACAGGAATAGACTACATAACCAGGATAATGCTGTAGCACTAAGACTACTGGATGACTCAAGCTAACTTAGGCGACTTAAAAGATTTCATGTCCTAGACCTATGGGTTCATCTCATTGGAACATAACCATTCGGTTATGTAATATTATTGTTAAAAAATTAGTTTATTGTCTAGTATAAGGCAGATTGCAAATAAAAACAGCAAATTAAAAAAAAGTTGTTATTTTCTATAACTCAATGTATAATCAAATTAAATATTAGACATAAAAAAAATTCAAATTGAAGCTTAATTTTTTTTTAATTTCCAGTTAACTGTTTAAATAAACTTTTTACGCCATTATTTGCAACGTTAAATCAATTTTATTAATGATTTCAAAACTTCAAGAAGCTATTGCCATAGATTACAAATAAAATGTTACATTTTAAGACACATATTTATGATGCCGTTTTAGCTTGCCGTTGCTCGTGTGTCCCAAAATATGGCCCAAAAACAACGAGATCCCCTCTCAACCCTGGCCCTTGCCCCCTGCTCCCTTCACCCCTTCACATACTGCAGCTAGGCAGTGAGTCAGTCAGTCATTGAAGTCATTTATTGCCACCAATGTTGCACGTTGTTTTTGCCGAACAACTGTACTAAGTTTTGTGCCGCGTTTTTCTTCAGAGTGTACGTGTGTGTGTGTGTGTTGATAGCGGCTGGCCGAGAGTTCTGACCGTTTCGTGTGCAGGATGTGTTTGCAATTTGTGGACACGCCGACCGTCATTTGATTGCTATTGTTGTTGTTTATGTTATTGTTGTTGTTGTCGCCACTGCCATAGTCGATTTTCTCTGCATTTTTTATATTATATTGTTGTATATTTGGGTCTATACACTTTTTTTAATTATATATATAAAAAAGCTCTTGAATTAACAACTGCTTTTTGTGGCAAAATTAAATGGTTGCCAATTTAAGATCGTCCTATGCTTGGATTGAGGGAGAGAAAGAGAGATAGAGAGGAAGTGGGAATGGGATTTTCTATCCCTATCCAAAATCGAATAGTTTTTATCCATATTCTATTAGACAGCCAGCCGACCGCCCCGTTGATAAGCCAATTGTTTGTTTTCTTGGCTCCACGCGATAGTTAACGTGCTGCCCCTTTGCTATTTTCATTCTTTCTTTTTTAATTTCATGACATCCATAAAAAGTTCGAAGGCAAACATGCCACCAAATGCACACGCTCACACATATGAGCACGTATGTGGGCCAATTTTCCCAATGACGTTTGAGGCGCGAGGTCTCATGAGACAATCAAAATTAAACGACTTTTGGCGTTGACATGCAAGACGCCAAAAACAACATAAACAAAAAGAGGCAACAAAATCTTAACGAAAGGTTCTGACAAACTTCCCAAGAAAATAGAAAACCTAATTTATGCCTTTAGCTGTAGCCGAGACTTGAACCCGCAGTTAGCCGTGACATCAGCAAAGCGCTGCCAGACTGCAAAGACTTGTCAATGTATGTGCTATTAACATAAAAAAGCTGTTATTTGGCAACAGTCTAAATAGCTATTTACATTTTGTGTAATATTTTTTATGAATACATTTTATTTTGTATTCAAAATAAATATCGTCCTGCTGTTAAATTATTTAATTTAAAAATAATAGCAAATATTTGTATAACAATCGCATTCAGTTCCTTCAAGCTCATGCTGTTATGTATGAACATGTTTATCAGATTTTACTTTTATTGAAATGCAATTACTGAACACACAATGAACATTTTAAAATTGGTAAATCTTAATTCTATTCGAGTTTTCCGCTACACGCTGGAAACAAAATACGTCATTGTAAAGCGCAGCTCGGAAGCCTAAACAAATGATGCAACCCTTACATAAATTATTAAATTATTATGTGGCCCTGGTACATGCAACCGCTGTTCATGTCTAACTACACGCGCTATTTTGTTTTGTATACATAAAAATGGAATGCATTAGTTGTGCGACTATAACAAATAAATACAAATGCAGCAAGTGCTTAGCGCCCTAGTAAGTAATTATTATGAACTTAAGTGATTGTTATAATAACTGTCCACGCAGTTGCTCCGTCAATTGCTACAAAAAACACAAAGAGCTGCCAGAATGTGCGGAGAGATCAGCAGCCAAACAAAAAACGCAGCCAGCGAAAGATGTTCAGGAAGAGGAACCCACAATATATCCACCATTTAGCACAGACGATACTGTACCCATTACTCTACTGCAGCAACTAAGTATATTGCTTATTAAAAGTATTAGATGATGTAATTGAAAATTGATCTGCGCTTACAGGCCACTCCGAACCGTTGCGACAACTTCTCCATAATCCACATTTGCGTGCTTTACTCAGAGAAATCGATGTGGCGCATAATGCAAATCTCGCCATGGCAGCTGCTATGCAGGAACCACTCTTTGTAGAATTTGCCAATGCCTGTTTGCAGGTGGTAGAGCCCATGACGGACGCGGAAAAAGAGGACCTCAAATTATGCAGCTGATATCTAAAGACTTAAACTTAATTAGTGTAAAATATTATTACAAATATATTGTCAATCTTTAAATAAGTTTATTATATAGTTAAGCAGCTAATGAAATAGACAATTCTACGAGTTTTTAATCTATTTGGCATTTTCACCCGTTCGGCGGATTTTGGCCCAGTTGTCATCATCATCAAAAAGATCATCGAAATCATTGTAAAAATCGGCATGTACATGTTTGTCATTGGTTGGTGCAGGCAAATGATCCATCATCATACCGGTAGCGCTGCCCGACTAAATAATGTTTATCAACAAAGTTTTCAATATATTTTTACATTAGTGTAACACGCATAATATGGCTTTAACTCACCTCCTCCATGTCCATATAACCGGCGCCCTCTGAGAACATCTCATCGACTGCAAGCGAAGGTTTCATATTTAAGTCCATTTAATTTTGATATATGTTTTTGTAAGTTTTTGCTATATAAATATATCCCTTGAATAGTTTATGCCTAGCTTTGACAAAGAACAGCGTTGCCAGTTACTTATCAGAACTGTCAAATTAATTAATATGTCTGGCACCACCATTCAAAACAGCTGTTCATTGTCCGGCTTCTGTTAAGTAAAATGGTTCGCGTTGGCTTACAGATATCTGCTACATTAGAAAATATAGAAAAATTAGAAACGCATTGCGATTATGCGTATTTCTTGAAGCTAACCTGCAGCAATTGTGGAGAAACATCAGAAAAATGGCATGATATTACAGAATCGGAGCGTACACAACAAGATTCACGCAATGCAGCGGGCTTTAATTTCTATATGAAATGCAAAATGTGCGCAAGAGAAAATAGCATTGACGTCGTCGAAAAGTCGAATGGTGAGCGGAGACTCCAATTAAAAAATGTGTCCTAAACGTTTTTCTCCTTAATAGTGGCCTATACAGCTGACGATGCGGGAAAATTCAAGACAATTGTGATTTTTGATTGTCGCGGCGTAGAACCTGTTGAATTTTCACCTCGATCCGGATGGAAGGTTCTTTCAGCGGAAAATGGACAAGCCTTTGAAGATGTGGATCTATCCGAAGACGATTGGGTGGAGTACGATCAAAAGAATAAAAACTCAGTGGGCATTTACGAATTTTCCTCCAAATTTATCAAGCTAAAGAAGTGAAAGTCAATTTAAATAAAGCATTTGTTATCTATAAATATACAAACAAAATCGTTTTGTGATTTTTTGAAAGCAGTTGTCTTGCAGATTTACTTTTCACATAGAAAATTGTAAGCGTACGTGAGGTCGAATAAATATATATTAATATAGTATATAAAATATAGATAATTTAATATTTTGTCGTTTTTTGTTAGGCTGAGGCGCTTTAAGACACTATGTATTATTACATATATTTATGTTATACAAACATATATATAAATATATATTCCATTCAGTGATATTTGTAGATTAGTTGTTATACATTACATACTTAACAAAATAGAGCTATGCTAGAGTTATGTAGCTAGATATAAAGGAATAAACACAACGCCACGTCAAATAGAGATAAAGATAACCCTTAAGAATATAAATTAAATTAATGAATGCGTCAATTAGATTACATTTTGTTTTAAGATTAAATCAAACAGAGAGCAAATGGTAACCTAAACGTGTTAAGAGCTAAAAATTTAAATTCTCGAATTTATTTTCTAGTTTTATTAGTGACACTTGTCCGCCACAATGGGAAAGCGTACGACGCGTATCTCGTTGCCATAGTCACAGACCACGGAGTCACAGGCGAGCATCATAAACTTGGGACACATCTGTAAATTGGCAAAGTCTAGCTTTACCTCCCGCGCCGGCTGACCAGTGCGCACATCCCACACAATAAGAGAGCCTAAAAGACGATTACACAATTAGCACATTTACCAATAGGTGTATAATATTGCAATTAGCTTACCCATCTTGCTGGTGACCAGCAGCGAGGGCGTCAACATTAACAGACTCGAATAAGCATTCGAGATTTTAATGGTCGTCAGCAGATTCCCCTGAAAGCGTTCCCACACACAAATCCGCTCATCGGTGCCCAGCGAAATCACATAGCTGGGCGCACAGGCCAGGCAACTAACCGCTCCATCATGAGCTTGTATATTGTACATGCAGGCGCCAGTAAATAGATCCCACACACAGAGCAGGCCATCCTGTGAGCCAGAGCCCCCCGTGCCAGGCTGCCAGCGATCAACAAAGAGGCAAGTCACAGGACCACAATGTCCATGCAGTGTATACTCCATATCAGATTTATTCAGACAATACACCTGCAAGCAACAAATACCTATTAGTACAGATCCCCGAAAGGTGTCACTTAACGCACCTTTAGTGTATGATCCTGACTGCCCGTGAAGACCATGTCATTGACCACCTGCATGCAAGTAATTGGTTGCTGATGTGCCAATCGCACGCCCTCCAGGGTAATTTTCATTTCCTCCTTCGTGGTCTTCTGCGCAGCATCCTGCTGACGCTGCTGTTGCTGCATCATCAGCCCGATGCTACCCGTAGAGCCAGTGCGCACATGTGCTTTAAAAAAAGATAAAGTAAATAGAATATATAGTATTGAAAATTAATGATAAGCAATATAAATAATACTCGCAAAAGATCTTTTCATAAATATCAAAAATAATTTGAATTTAATTTTAACATGAAGAGAGGATATAGAAGATGAAGGTCATGTCAAGACTGTGAGAACATTTACACTTGCTGTGACATCGTTTCAACTGTTGCCCTTCCAACAGCGAATCGATATATTTATAACGCAGACAGACAGGAAGAATAGTTCAGATCAAGTGAATTTTTCAATCGTGACATAGTTAGTTTAACAGTGATTCGGTTACAGCGTACTTTTTAACAGCGCACTAACAGAATGACTGCGATAAGGAAGGTCAACTCTTGCTTTAAACATTTAATTCACTTTTGGCAAAGCAAAAATTAGCTAATTTTAAGACTTACTACGTCTGTAGGCGGACGTAAAGCCCCAATCAATCTGTTTGCCTTTGTAGTATGTTTCCAGCCGATAGAAATCGAGACGTCCGTTGAGGCGCGCCACAATCACACGATCCCCATTCAAATGGATGTGAGTAATGCCCTGATTTCGTTTCGCATCCTCCTGATAGGCACACTTGAGCACACCGGCTGGTACCTCCCACAGCTCGACACGGCCATTTGCACAGCCAACGGCAATGAGATTATCAAAATAGTCCAAACACCAGACTGGCGATGTGGGCAGCTTGCGCAGCAGGGTCTGCCCGTCCTGTCTCGGATGCGCTATCTGCATATCACCACGTCCAATGCTGGCTAGCTGCTGACCGGTTCGTCCATCCCAGACTCGAATTTGACCCTTCAAGCAGCAGCTGATGATGTAGTTGCCATCACAGGCCAAACACTCGATGCGGTGCTTGTGCCCCGCTATTTGCGTGGGCACACCCTCCAGAATGTGTTCGGTCTCCTTGTAGGGCACCTCCGATTCATGCCAGCTGGAACGCCATTCAGCATAGTTGCGCGTGCAGATGCAGCGATAAAACACGACCATCGTGTAGCACAGCACGAAAATGCTAATGCAGCAAAGCAGCACGGCAAAGAATATCTCCATGGGGCTCTTCGGCACAAGTGGTGTGCCTCCAGCCATGACCGTAGGTGATTCCCGCCTTGCATCATCGTCATTGAAGTCCAGTGGATCCAGAGCAGCGGCCAATGCCTTCCATTGAAAGTTCTGCTGCAGTTGCTCCTGTGGATTGCGCATTAATGTTGCCAGCTCCGGGGATATGGCATGCGTCAGCCGTATGGTCGGCAGCAGGGTAACATATTGTCCACTCAGGGAGACATTGTACTGTTTCATTATGGTAGACCAATGAAAATTGGATAGAAAATAGTTTAGCTCAAAGTTGGGATAACGCAGGCGCAGCATCTCCGCTGCCGTCTCATTGATATCATGCAGTGGCTGTTCCGTCGTTGGGATCAAGTAGCTGGGCGTGCTGCCCAACCGTTCGCCGGCTGGTTTAAATCCTTTGAGGAAACTGCTGACAGCGCCGCGTGTCGCTTGCAAATGACGTTGCAGCTCGTAGGCGGTGCTCATCGAGCCATTATTCTGCATGCTGAACAGCTGCTCCAGACATCCCGAATTGTAGACAATCGAGCATATCCACACAATCATCCAGATCATAAAGGCGCGCTGAAAAAAACGCGTGCGTGCCCAGAAATTAACAATCTTAATGCGCTTGGGTATGCGAGCTTCCTGTGCAGTATGACCGGCATGTCCATTCACCAGCTGACCACGATCTCCAGCATCCGCGAAGCATAACTTCGGATGCGACTGGGAGCGTTGGAAGGTGCCCGGAACGAAGGGCAGCAAGGGCGACGGCGGCGGTGGTGCAGCGCCAAAGAAACGAAACTCCTGACGAGCCATCGAACCACCGCTAGCCTGTCCATTGCCGAGCGTACAGCTGAGCATCATCTTGGGCAAGTGTTTGGCCTCTGTGGTGTATTCCGCCCGCTTAATATTCATCGCCAGTATGGTAGAAAAGAGCAGCATTTGCAGCATGAAATCCGAGAGTAATCCAACAATCGCAAATACGCAAAACTCTTGTATGACCGGCACAAAGGTGGCCAGTCCAATGGTCAGGATGGTGATCTCTGTGAGCAGCGTCTTCGATATATGCCAGCCCTCCTTGCTCAAGGCTTGAGCGACGCGAATTTTCACATCGAACGTGCCATCCATGGACACGACGCTCTTCGTTATAACCAGGCTATTCTCCAGACCGACTAATATAACCAAATATGGAAATATATCCTTGGATTGCAACGATATGGTCAGTCCAAAGAAGAAGCACAAGCCCAGCGACATGGCCAGGCTGCCAGATGTGGTCAACACACTGCACAGAGCCAGCAACACGCGCGATCTAAACACGTCCATCTTGCGCACCGAGAAGTAGACATAGACAAATACCAGTACAAACGCCACGGATAACGGCAGAAATTCCCAGATTTTAAATTCGCCTGGATAAAAGATGTACGTGATGGTCGGTTCCTCCTCATCTTCAGCCGCAGATGGCGCTGGTGACACGCTCAATGGTGGATAGTAGCGCAATAGTTTCTCCTTCAGTGTCTCCAAGTATTCCGGATCATTCTTATTCAGAATCAGCGTCAGGGCGTATTGTATTATGCGCGAGCGGGCACGCAAAGGATAACGCTTGAAGCCCGTATCCTGCATGGGCAATCCGAATAGCATTTCAGCCGCAGACACTTTCGATTTTTGTAAGTTCTAAAAGGGAAAGACAGAAAACAAAGTTCAATTAGATCGGCATAGATAATGTTCATTTAGTTAAATAATTGATCGACCCGATCGAGCCTCTTATCTATGTTGTACCTCCCAGCCGGACTTTGCTACTATTGTTATAATGAGACACAAGACATGTGAGTCACTTAGATTGGTAATAGAAATAAATTAAGGGTATCATCTATCTAATTGCACACGTAATATTAATGATTGATGCATGATTGATCAGATTTCTCCTCTCTCTTAACATCACATACTCAATTTTTCAAATGGAATTTGGAGAATAGCGTTTCTTTAAGTAAAGCAACATTTATCAATTGCTCTTATCTAGTTCTTTATCAATTAGCTAAACTTTTAAACTTATTTTAACTCAGATAAAGGCTCCTAACTAAATTTGTTTAATATATACATATAGTATTCAGATTTTCATTAGACTCTATTTTTGTTCAAGTTATGAAAGCATAAAATACGCAACAATAATTTATAGTTTATCAATAATGCTTCATTTTTTATAGAGGTGAGTTATTTTATAGATTACAATTTAAGTTTTTGTTTAATAGAAAACATGTTTTCTTGCTAAATTGAAACTTGCAAAGACGTTAAAAGAAATATTTAATCAATCTCAATTTCAATTGCTTTCAGCAGACATCAAGTTCTTAATAAATCCAGTGGAATGAGCAAAACTAATTTTCGTTATATTTTAAGTTCTCCAGACGATATGATTTCTGTGTAATTTAGGAAATCAGATTTGTCTCCCAATCTAACAACTAGCTACACGAGTGAGCTTATCAAAATTCTCATTTATTTGATTTCCATTTAACAAGCGTTAAATTCAAATCCTATTTCTGACTTATCGAACACTTACCAACCCGTCATTGCTACTTAAATATTTTTCGTTAATTTGAATCAGCCCACAACACAATCTAAGCCTTGACGCTGTTGGCTATTATCTTTTGCTTCATTACGAAAAGGTTTGGCTAAAAGCTTTTATTCTTCTAATCTCTTTAATTGTAAATATATTTTCATTGAGTTCTTATCTAATAATTGTTTTTGTTTTTGTTTTGGCATGCCTCTTCACGAAACTTCCTAAGTATCAAATGTATTCATAGCGTTTTTTTATCAGCTTAGGAAACCTAAAAGAAGTGTATTAATATTTTATATACTCAGGAACTTTCCATAATTGTCTGAGGTACATGAGTGTGGTCAATGAAATCATAACAATGTTGAATCCAATTTCCCGCCACCGAATGAATGCCAAAACAGAAATTTAATGACTCATAAAGCTTAAGGCGTTGAGAGATAAGTATCTATATATAAACAAATCTACACACTCATATCAACAGGTGAGTCTCGATTGTGTGCGCCTTTTCATTAGCACAATCAACAAGTTAGTGTAGTTGGGCTATCAAGAGGAGCAAACAGAGAATAACAAAGGCCTGCCCCGTTTGCAATTGAGACTCGCCAAGCGTTATGCATAATACGCACACACACACACCCACACACATATTTGCACATGCGAAATAATTGCAATGCGTTAGCAGACGGCGCTAAAAAGGCCTTTTCATATGCATTCGAGGCAATTTAATAGCGGCTAAAAGTGAATTTGTTCGATATCTTTTAATTTGCTCGTGTTAATTGAGACTTTTAGAGAATGAAACAATTTATAATGGGTATTTATGGGCATTTAGTGTGCATATTAAGTTAACATTCGCTTGTATTTAACATGTTAAACTAACAGAATCAATATTAACTTAACAAGCAACGAGGCAAATCTGAGCTGCTAAGCTGTGACGTAAATAGCTTACATGATGCCAACGAGTGCGTCGCTTATTGTATAACATCAACATTCTAAAAGTTAAAACTAAATTATGATCTCAATACAGATCTAGCACTTGATTTACAATCCAATTTGTAGCGTGAAGTAAAGAATCAGAGACAACGATGCTAAGCTACTAATATGACAATAAAACATTGTTGAACCTTCTTGTCAGCTTTCATGTGCCCTCAAATTGCATTTAACATGCACCATTTGAATTAACAGCGACATTTAAAGTGCAGGTATTCAAGGGGCTATTAAGCAACTCAAACGGGTATAGTCAAATCGTGTACAGCTCATTTTAGCAGCTTGCACACGTATCGATGGCAAGCCTAATCAACAGCTGGCTACCATTTTCCAAAATAGTTTAGCCATAACGCTTGACTGATAAGGCGCTGGGGGTTAAGCAACTAGCAAAACAGCCTTTTAGCTAATTAAATGTGTTCCAGTCAAAGTGCAGTACAGATTTTATGAAAAATGACGAGAGCTTGGGCAAATACAATTAACTGACTGTCAGCATGATGAAATCCATTAGCCACATACACAGACACACACACGCACAGACACTCGCACACACTTACATGATACTGAAAGATGGTATTTAGTATATTGGTATCTCTGGTAAAATTCTGTGCATTCTGTGTCCACAGATTCGCCGGGGATAACAATAGACAGCCATATTCGGGGAAGATCTGTTCCAATTGACTCTGGGCACCGCGCTTCACATTGTCCACATGCAAACAGTTTTGCTCCAATGTGCGTTGACTGCAAGGGAATTTGATTCAATTAAAGGCAATGTCATATTTATATATATATATATATATATATATATATAGATCTATATATAAGTATATATATATATATATACATATCGTGTCAACTTACTTCTCGCTGCTCTGATGATTGCGCACAATTTCGAGCAATTTAAAAACTTCATAAAGCGGCGCTCGGAACGCATCCATTAGCTGCATTTCATCTGCCCAAGGCAACACGCTCGCTCGCAGCGTTATCTGTTGCACGTAGAAGGCCGGACTGCTCTGCGCCCAGGGTAGGCCGCCCCCGCCGCCCCCTCCACTGTTGCCACCACCGCTGCTCGCATTGAATGATGCACTGGCTCCACTTTGATTATGGGCGGCTGCATCCTCTTCGCCAAAGAGCGGCGTATAGCGTCCCTCATAAGGCAAAACGATCTTGGTGGGTATTGTGCCAGGCAAAGGTATATTCATCAGCGGATAGCTAGAGAGTGAGAGTTAGAGAGAGAGAGAATGAGAGACAATGCGAAAGAGATAGAAGAGAGATGCTTTTAATAGGCCCATTAAACGAATCTAGTTAATTCAGCTATTTTCGGAGCAGGCGCGTGTTTGACTCTATTATACCCTGTAACCATTTAAGTTATTTGATAGTTCAGGTGATTGCACATAATAAGCAAATAGTGTACTATGAATAGTTATTACAACTTATAATAGTTAAATATTTAAGCAATTTTGTATAACTACTTAGAATCGATGGCAAAGTCAATTTATGCTAATATCGCTATAATCATTGCTTATCATTATATAATCATTATACAATTATAATAATCATTATTTATCGTTTCACAGAATTTTATCTTATATATATAATATTTAATGAGTATTATAATCTATAGATGCTTAATGAGATTTTATGCCTTATATACAATCACTTATATATAAAACTAAAGCCTATGTATATTTTTCATTTATAAAGTAAAGCTTTCTGATTGGTTATACATAAAGCGAAATATTTGAACGGCTTAGATTTGAAATTAAGTTATCCAATTTATTTATTATATTTATTCTAAGTGCTTTTGAATTTCCATTCCATATAATACTCTATTCTAATTTTATTTGGACTTTTTACAATTCTATTCAATTCTCATTTAAATTTTTATTTTTACATGTTTCCAACTCATTTCCTAATCGTATTTTATTGAACATTTTAAATTTGATAAATTTTTTTTTTTATTATAAACTATCTTATGTATACTTTTAATACATTTTCTTTCCCATTCTGCAGTCTCTTGCAATACTAGTTCTCATTTCTACAGGGTAGCACCCAGTCAAGCACACTTATCTTGACCACTCCAAGCAGTTGCTGCCTTTTATACTAGCGATCGTTAAGTTTGTCATCAAACGCGTGTGTAACAAACGATTTCCCAAAATACACATATGCATACATACATATGTTCTATGAACTTATATATTTGATTTATCAACAATTCAGTTTAACGCTCAGCATTTCATATATTCAAGGTTAGCAGGCCACGGCGAGAACAACAACAGCTATAACCGAAATACGACCGAGCCCAACTGATAAGAGATTAAGCAAAGTAACCAAATAAATATAAAACATTTGCTGCATTACACCAGCGATAAGGCGGAGGCAGACGCGGCGGTTGGTTGGCAACTGCAAACTAATGAGGGCTTCACATTAAGCTAAAGGTGAAAAAAGAAAGCGAGCGAGAGGGAGACTGAGGGAGACAGTTTGATAGATCCAAACAATTCTATAATAGAGCAAATAAGAGCGCTCTAGTCGAGGCTGGTCGACTAGCAGCTGCCCTAAGCGTTGCACAGCGCTGATATTCCAATCACGCACGCACGCACGCATTAACACGCGCCGCATAAGCTTTGCTATGAAAGCTGAGTTGTTGAATATCTTTTCTTGTAGATGAGCTTTCTTTATCAAATTTGCGGAATGAATTAATGACATTGACATGTGTGTATTTGCCAAAGAATTTAAAATAGATTTATATTTAGATTTATATTTATTTAAGAAAAGAATGAGGAATCATAATTCCAAAATAGACAAAATCTTTTAAGTTATAACTGGAAGCCCCCATTAGGCTGAAAGCATTCGTCTTTTGAGGTATTCAAGTCAATCGATTTTCATCTATAATAACGAAATGGCATAAATGATCGGTAAAAAATATAGCCTTGGGCTGCGAAGGGTATACTTATAATATATAAAATAAGTTTCAAATTTTAAGTCTCTAGCTTTTGTGGTTTCCAAATTTGCACACACGGACGGACAGAGGGACACAGCTAGATCGACTCATCTTAAGAATATATATATTTTGTGTGGTCTGCCACGCCTTCTTCTCCCTGTTGTATATATTTTCACAAAACCATTATGACCTGAATTCAGAATTTCATTGGGTCACGCTGTATTAAAAACAAGAAGCTTGATGTTAGTTTAAACTTTAACAGTGGATTATTTAACAGGCAAGTTAAGTTAAAATGTTAAGCCGACGTAAATGTTAGACTGAAATGTTAACTAATTGGAGACTTAAATCAAGCATCAGAAAGTATTGGAATAGGATTTCTATTATTTGTTACGGATTCGAATCACAGATTGAGACCGAAAAGCATATTCCGCGCAATCAAAAGTGTCAAGATAATCAAATGAAATCAATAAATAAATACAGATCAGGAAGTGCTCGAAAAATAATTATAGTATAGTTTGTTTTTTAGAACAGCCTTGCTATGCTCTATAAGGCCGCCTGGAATTCTATATATTAAAATTCGTGCATGAAATGGAACAAGCGCCACATGTGTAGCGCCACACACATTAATAATGAATGTGTGTGTGAGAGAAGGAATGTGTGTATGAGTGTGTATTATTGAATTATTCAATAATTTTAATTATCTATTGGACACTGTGCCGCAACCTGAGCATTTTTGGGGCCAGTCTGGGGTCTAGACATTGTTTATTTATTTGTTCATCGTTTCAAGTTGATAAAAATCTATAGTGCGCGTGGCTCTATGCGAAATCGAACAGATTTATGAACAAATAGACGAATGTACACGCATACATATATACATAATTGGAACGTTTAGCAAATCTAAAAATAAATATCTGGTTGGAATTTTTAATATGTCGACGAAAAGGTGCTTTAATTGAGGCATCAAATTGTGATCTAGATATAGCTCTATATAAGAAATAATATATATTTAAATCTGTATCATAATCCATTGAATTTGTAGCAAACAACTATATAGTATGCATTTGTGCATTTCAGGCTTATCTGCAACAAATTCAATTTATTTATTATTATTGTGTATAAATATATATATATATGTATATGAATGCTTTTTTTTTTTGAATAACTCCATTGACGCATGCCGGCTTGAGATTTCCGAGTTCAATTATTTGTGCTGATAATTAACATTATAATCTAAATGCAAGTCGCGCACATATGTAATCAGTATTTGTCACTATTTTAATGGGAAAACAGAGGAAACACAAAAGCTTTTCATGATGATATTTTCATACACACGTTTTTTTGGAGCACTCAAAAAAACTGAAAAAAGTCTTTTTTTTTCAGCTATTATATAATATTTAATGGTGTGCTTCAGTAATCTTTAATGAATAAATTATGTATTAGCTCTAAAAAGAATTTAATTAACTTTAGATTTGGCAACGCTCTCGGCTAATTCAAGTTTACCTAATAATTAACTATTTAGAAGGCGCGTTTGGCTTATGGACAACAATGGACATGTTGGGGCGCTACTGTCTACTCATTCACTATTGAATATCCATTATACGAGATCCAAAACATTGAAAGATAGAGTTTTAGCCCATTTGCCACACCCCCAATAGGCATATATATCCGTTTTGGCAACTCAATAGAGCAGGTCACAAATAACATACTGGATCAATTTTGAGTTTAGAGTTACAGTTTAGCAGTGGGTGTAGACGTCTAATGTTTGCCCAATCCTTAGAAGAGGCTTCCAGTAGTGTAACTGGACTTAGCTCGAAATTTTTGGAAGTTATAGGGTATTTTTTATATGCCCCGCCCCATTAGATATCAATAAAGGAAGTCGATAGTAACTCAATAATTTAATTTTTAGAGGATAAAAACTTTTGCGGTTTATATATGTATTTGTCTATATTTGGGTGCGAGTTATATAGTTATACAATTATTAGCGGCGAAAAGTTTGCAAGCAGCAGCAAGATGGATATTTCATAAAACCAATATACTCCTTTCACTTTGGGAATGAGTATAATGCAAGCTTTAGAACACTGCTAGAGCATTCACATTTTGCCGCTTTGACTGTTTAAAGTTTCTAAAGTCTAGTTTTAAAAAATGTTATAATACTGAGTCATTTTTGTTTGATCTGAAATGCGATAAAAAATAAATGGGCTTTAGACATGCAATTCTCGCACAGGGGTTGTTCATCCTGTGGGACAGTGGGAATTACGCATATGTGTTATATAATGCATGTATGTATTTCTTTATGTACATATATTTGGCAAACAACTCTCGCTAATAAGCAAGTTGCCAAATTTGTTTGATTTCTCGGAATTTGGTTAGCGATACCTACACTAGTATAACAAAGGGTATATTTGAAAAAAAAAACAAGCACAAAAAAACAAAGTTATCAACTAGTAAATACCCTTTATATAAAGTCAGCTTAGAGCTTAACTAAGACATTTTACAAAACACACTATAAATCGAATATTTATCGATTTGAAGTATGACAACCAAGTTAATACCAATTGCTAGTGCTAAAGCGATATTTAATCCATAAAAAATACTTAGTTGCCTATCTTTATTGAAAGTTAATTGTCAATTTCTCAAAACACGATCTACAAAAATAGAACCGTGTAAATCAAAAAAGCTAAATAAAAACAGTTATATTGGCTTTGTTACAAGGAACTGTATTTCGTAACTAATGCAGACTAAATAGCGCGAATTATCGATTATTTCAGGAAGTAAATGGCTCTTTATGAAATGAAATGATACATATTAAATGGTTTATTTCTTAAATTTCTTATCGCTATTTTCAAATGTTATAGGGTATTTGAGAGAACTTACCACGAAAGCAATATCGCCATTAGGGCAATGCTGGAAGCGCATGTCGGATAGCTGGATAAAAATAAGCCGTGCTTATAGTAGAAATGCGACACCGAAGCCGGCAGACCGGATGAACTAGACGCCGTTGTTGAGGTGGCTGCGTTTGACGTTGGTGGTGAATTGATTTTAAGCTTTGGCGATTTACCGTTGCCATTTGCAGTTAATGGCAGCGACGCAGACGCCGCAGCCGCAGCTGCTGTCTTGGCAGAGCCATCTGTTGCGGCTGCCATGCCGCCTATGCACAGCCTCTCTCACACACAGATATCTAGTGAGAGAGCGCACGCGACCGGAATTTACAACACACACGCACACAGAAGAGATATTGGAGTGCGAACGAGCGAGTGTGGTGAGCTATAGCGTCGGTTCTAAACGTAAACTTTGAGTTTTGGCCTTACCAACTTTTCAATGCCAAAAATTACGCAATTTCGCATATGCAACGCATCATTTGCGTAGGCAACGGGAACAGCAGCAGCGGCAGCGATTTTATTTATTAATAGCTTTGATTTAGGTTTTGCCGCTGCCGTCGTCGCTTTGATTTTCACTTGTATAAGAATATCGACACATTTTTGCATTCTGTTGTCTATTGATTTTTCTTTTTCTTGCGCTTCATTCGCACCTTTTGGCCTCCGTTTGTGGTTGTTGCTTCTGTTATTGTTGTTGCTGCTGTTGTTAATTAATTGACATTTTCGCGCATCTTCACAGGCCGCGCGCGCACACACATACACACTCACAATTGCGCACGTATACACGCACACACACCCATCCACAGGTTCACGCTCACATTTGCATGCACATTCAATTTATGTATGCATACGATTTATGTTATTGCTGTTGTTATTGTTATTAGTGCTGCTGATACTTATTGTTATCAAATTATCACTTATTAAAATAGCTTTTCGCCAATTTTTCAAATTCTCATACGCTCAGCACTTTTTTCCTTTGCGTTCTAGCTGGCTTTTTTCGGGTGCCCTTTTTGGTATTTTTGCACGACTGCGACGTAGAAAGTTTAACAGAGCATTTTCAATGTTTAGCCATTAGTTGTTAACGCCAATGAATCCTCTATCTTGCACCTTATGTATTTTGCACGATATATTTGCTGCAGTTGTGTAATTTTGTTGTTATATTAAACACGTTTTTGCTTGCGGCTGACGGACAAGCTCGAGCGTACTCACGTCACGATAACTTTGAAAGAACAACATAAAACAGCTGAGCAGAGCTAAGAGCCGAACCACTGTGGGCACCCCAAAAACATTTAGCTTTGCTCAATTGATAATGTTAATATCGATATACTTAACGTAAACAGGGTGACCAGTTGAAATGTTAAATTCTAATAATTTAAATTCGATTTGCTTAGTGTTTGATTATTTATTTAATTTTTAAAGGGCGCTTACGTTTAAAAATGTACATATTATTGTATGCCTTTTGATTTTACACCAAAAATCAAATGTAAAATTGCAATATAATTGAACAAGTTAGAACCACTCGAACTGTTTCATTTCATTTGAAGCAAACCTCAATGAGCATAAATCTTAATCTGAATATTATATACACTTTAACTGCTTTTTGTTTCGCAACAGCTCCAAACTAGACTAGCTACAAAGTGTCACTGGCTCCAGGAGAAGCCATGCCACAACTCTTGCTGTTGCTGCTAGTTCAAATAAGAGTCTATAAATTGACGGGTATACTCGACTTAGACATATCCTGCTGCCCTTGTCAGCGCTGTACTAGTCAATCTTGGTGGTCGGCATGGTGTACTCAGCCGTTATTGACTCTGCCGACATATACTCCTGCTGCGCCGGCAGCTGATGATATAGCGCACGATCCGATCCCGATACCGATCCCGATCCCGTCTGCATATAAGTCTCACAACCCTCGGCAACAGCATTGTTGTGCACGCCATTCTCGTTGGCGCGGCACTTCCTCGAGCCAAAGATCAGGGCGGTGCCCTTGCTGAGCAGCGGACAAAGCAGCGCCTGATGACAGCAGGCAAACAGTCTGTAGTTCTGGCCCTGGAACGGATCCGACATAGCTGCGCACAGCATGTGATCCAAGTTGATGCCAGTCAGCTGCAAAGCCAAAGACAAATTTCTATTAATAACAATTAATTAATAACAATCAAACTAAACGGCGCCAAAGAGCATAAAACCTTCTTCATAAGGTAACTATTCGAAATCCCCAAAAAGTTTTTCAGCAATTTGAAAATATATTTTCTAGACAAATTTTCAGCTCATTTAAAAGTCAATTGCACTGCATTTAGTCACCTTTAACTAGCTGATATATTCTTCTTCTTCTTTACACTCTACTTAAATACATCACAAATCGTATATTCCAGTTGTCATTAGAATAAGTTAAGCTTTTCATCAATTGGTTGAGTGAATCTGATGGAGAACTCATCCCAGAGCCACAGGCCAAAGAGTTTTAAAGATTTTTAAGTAAAGAATTCCAAGAAAACTTCATCAAATATAAAATCGGACTGCTTTTAGTCAAGACTTTTTCTGCTTTATAAGAAATGAACTATTTTGGATAATGTTGCTCTAAGCAGCACTTTATTAATAACTCAAACGCAAAGCATTTCCCTAGCAACAACAGATTAACTGCGCCAGCAGAGGATACAAAAAGGCTGAGTATTATGAGCAGCAGGTGCAGCAGGTGTTACTGCTTTGAGAACCCTAAAATCGTACATATTTGATTACACATTTCTGCATCTATAAGAGCATAAAACTAATTGAATCCAAGCTAAACTTGAAGAGCTTCATTCACATCTCGAATCTCGCTTAATTCAAAAGTTATAATAATGCAACGAGAACTGAGCAAAGGCCCCAATGTATCTGTGCATACCTTTTCTAAGCCCACATAAGCCTTGGACTGCTCTGCCAAATTTTTATGCATTTCAAAGAAAACTTTCGACTAAACAAACACTTGGAAAATTGTGGATTAAAAGTTCCTGTCGAACCTCAAAAGTTATCAAGCCTTTAAATAACTATATAAAACCACATTCGATAATGAGAAAGCCAAAGAGTTTTTATACGTTTTTCAGCTCTACTATAAAAGGCGCAGTCAACCACAAACTCATTCTGTAAGCTTAAAGCAGTTCAAAGGGCCAAACACAGTTGCCGCTCTGTTGTTATATCATCAATCAGTCAGTAAATCAGTTCGTCAATCAACCTATTTGCAGCAATAATCTTAAAGCTGTGACTTACTATGGAAAGCGGCGAGAGCAGCACAAAATGATAGAAGAGCATGAAGGCGGTGCCTATTTTCGACCACTTGAAGTCGCCCAGATCCTCGATGGTGTAGGCGCCTAGAAGCAGATGCGATTGACTATGTTAGATTGATCATTGATTGACCGATTCTATATCAGCTAGTTACCACTTCTCAAGATGTATATGGGTATAAGGTAGAGCAGAGCATGCTGTATCCAGTAGGTGGCCTGCTCGAAGGGATAGGTGCGACCCTCCACCTCCGGAAATAAGAAGGCAAGGAAAGGTCCATTCAAATTGCTCATCTGAATGCGAAACAAGGCGGTTGTTGTCTTCGTGGGCTTGGCAGCCAGCAGATAGATCTGGAAATACATATGAGAATTATACAGAGAGATATGTGTATAGCTAATGGAATGGATGGGCATTGAGTACAGTCAACTGTTCAGGTAATAGGGAACATTAAGAGGTTTAACCTAGTTGTAATTTAGACAACGTTTGAACTTAGGATGCTTAAGTTCCAAATGCAAGTAGGAATACTCTAGAGGAAAGTGCCCAGCTAGCAGATACCTCCACTTCCTAATAAGTAATACATATATATATAAATACATAGACAAATAGACATACATATATACAACCATTCCTACATACATACATACATAATGGCATCCATCCCTTCATGAAGATTAGTGATAATATAAACATGTTTAGGTAATCAATTGGCTTGATATATATCTCTTAAGACTGATGGGTAGACAGATTTATACGTAACTAAGCCCAAATGGATCTCACCTGGAGACACGTTTGCACATGACAAGGATTCAGTGCAAAGATCATCGAGCCGCCGGACAGCTTGAAGCCCATCTCGATGCCAAAGATCACGGACATGGCAATGAGCAGCAGCAGACGCAGCGGACTGTGCGGCTTCTGGATCTCGTGTGTGGGCGGCAATCGTATGGGAGCCAAGCGCTTCCACGATCCATGCATGATATAGATGAACACGGCCGAGAGCAGTGCCGTTTCGGTCCAGCGTCGTCGATCGGTCATATAGTTAATGCACTCGGGTCCCGTTGTCCTGGGTATTTCATCAGTAATGCCACCCACAGCCCAGTCCCAGTTCCAATCCATTTTGCCTCAATGTGTCTGTGTCTTGCTCTGGCCTCAACGCTCCAAGGAACTGCAATGAAGAAATGGGGTAAAACCTTTAGCAACAAACCCCCAACTCGGCTGGCATTGAAAGGTAACCGCATTGCGTGTCGCTAACAACCCAAAAGGCATAAAAAAGATAAAGAAAATTGTTTTTTGTTTGTAAAGCGTTTAAATAAATTGCTTGGCGCAAGCCTTCCAAGCTAACTCCACTAGGCCCACAAATCCAAACCTCAGAAATACACTCACTCAGGCTATTCAAATATTTCTTGAAATACATACGAAAGAAATTCACTTTAATTATTTGATACGAAACCATTTCCTATGGTTGGAAATACTCAAAATACCCCGTGGAGTAATGCCCACAGCGCAGCGACGCTACGGAAGAGTATTCAAGCTGCGACTTTTTTCTCTTCGCTTCTCTTTTATTTCCGTCTTTGTTACGGAAATCGTGAAATGCGACGAGGCGAAGGCAACAAATATTAATGCCAAACAGGTGAACGCTAAGCTCAGTCGCCCACGCCCAATCTCAGCCCCTCGCAACCTACAACACACTTCCCACCCCCTCGCATTCTTTTGCTGGCCAGCTGTCATGTGGGAAGCGTTGCATACATGGGCGTGGCACGTGCATTGCATTGCGGCTTGCTTGTTGAATTTGCAGCAATAAAATGAAGAGCCGGCAAGGAGGTCAGCAGTTGGGCAGGATTTGGGGGGGCCGAGTTGTGCTCTATGGCTATATATTAGAAAACTAAATTGAAAATGAATTGTTGTCAACGTTGACAGCTGCTGCAGCTGCGGCTAAACTTGGCCGAGTGCCAAGATAGAAGGCCAGATGCCAGATACCTGACGCCAGATGGCCAGCCAGTGTGACAGTCGCAATACCCTCCCTATATCCATTCACAGTTCGCTTACCTTGGCAGCCTGCCTTGAAGCAGCAACCATTATGCATACACACATACATCTATCAATTGATGGCTATACAAATGATACGCACTGACTTATAGCAAACAAAATGCTTAACTAGGGAGCACTCAATATTTTGACCAGCAGTGTACCACTATTTACAAAGAGTGCATATTTTAATGCCTACTTTCCAGCGTTCGTTTGATGTTGAATGGAAAGCACACATACACTCACTGATGCACGTACATACAAGCATGTAAAGTAACACACATACAAGCATTTGCAGACAGACAATAAACAGCCGTTATTGTAGTTTTCATTGTCAAGAACATGCAAAGAGAGCAATCGCATATGCAAGCGAGACAGAAAGAGAGAGCGCAACGGCTGCAATAGGAACAAAGTAAATGTTTACAAGGTTTTTGAATGGAGACACCAGGCTGCGGCGGCGGCAGCGGCTGCGGCAGCAAAGCTTGGCTGACAAGCGCCATTTGTGTCAGCTGTTTGCTAAAAGCAAGCGGCAGAGGGCGCCACCCCATTAACACAGCAGCCCTTAGCTAATTCGATTTTCCAATGAGTTTAATACTGTAAATAACCTAATTAGCAAAAGACCTATAATTAAACTGTAGATTTGCTTAAAATATTTATTTACTGTTAATAATTTTACACTCTTGCGTATCGCTATTAATACACACGGCCACGTGATTGCTCAAAAAGCTCTACGCGATACCTGAACCCACTTTTTTTCTACTTTAGACACATTTGTGTTTATATGAGAGCACTTTTTGATTTATTTATATTTATGCACTAGCTCACTTATGAAATTGCATTGTGAATTGCCTCGAATTGAAAAAGAGCCACGACAAAATAAATGGAAATTTATATTGGGAGCGAAAAACAAAACGCGTTGCAACGTCTACTGTAAATGCGGCTGCAATTCTTACTGAATTGCTGTTGACGCTCTGTCTGTTCTTATTCCCCAATTGGGGGTTGTTTCCGGTTGTGATTTGTTTTCGACTCCTTATAAGACATTTCACATAGGTCTCCACACTTAGGTGTGCGTTGGCTTATACTAAAATTTAATAGTACAAACAACAGCTGATTGTGATATATATATTTTTTTCTTTTAGCTCCAACTGCTTTTTAAAAGTTGACTAAAATATAAATCAAATTGAAACAGGTTGCCTCATAGAGTGTTCGTTGCTGCTTTCAAGTCCTTAAGCGTAAGCATATTCACCACAGCGTTAACAGAGCCAAATTTACCACCCTGTAAAACCACTCAGAGAGTGAACGCTTTTTGCGCTCTCTTTATGGCACTTGTATGTGAAACGAGGTCTCTGGCAATTTGGCGCCAAAACAACGGATAAACGGCGAGCAAAACAACAACATACATACGTACACAAAAGCACATTTACAGAAAGATATATGTAAATATATCTATATGGAGATAGCTGCATTTATGCGTATGTATGTGTACATGAACGTACATATATGTATGAACAGACAAATTGGATTATAAGCAGACAAGAAATGCGAACACGAACGAAAACAAATGATCTGCTCAGAGAAGCTTTACCCATAATTATGAGATACATACTTATATATCTATAATTAAGTGTATATGTATTTATGTCTGCACTTGAGTATGTGCATGTGTATGTGAGTCAGTGCATAGTCAGTAATGTAATTAATTTTAACAGTATATTATTGTATGTAAACGCACTTCTGGTGTATTATAAATACGTTGATTTAAATTCAAATTTTATATATTTTCTTTCTATGCTTTAAGTCCCGCCCAGAGCTTGCTATTGTTGAAAACACGCGACTTTACCGTTAGCAACCGAAATAGGCAAACGCGCGTATGTAACTGTAATTAAGCGTGTACTGAAGAAGAACAACGGAACAGAACCACAACATTAACGAGAATGCACAAAACGAATGTGGCTGACTTTTAGATGACCTATAGACACAAGATCAGAAATTGCGTTAATTCCTGTGTTTTCTGACGCTTAGTATGGAAATTATCAGAGCTCGAAGATGTCATTCATATTATATATAATTTGTATAAATAGCATAATTTTAAAATAAGCTAAATTTTGTTGGCATATTATTGTTAGATATAATATATAATAAGAAAATTTATTTAAAAAAAATAAGTCAAATTTAGATATTTAACATTTAATATTTGGTGAAATATGAACTACTCTACATGTGTTATTTAAAGGGTATTCGAACCTCATGCGACAAAGCTAGTGGCATTATATCTATGGCAAATGAAAAAAAAAGTGCGAGCAGAACAGCAATAGACACATTCATGTAAATCAAATTAGCCAACTGCAGAAATGATTTATTTACAGTTATGGGACACATCAAATATTCCATTGTCGTTTCCCAAACCTATTCCCAATAAAAGTGGCTAACAGTTGCCCCTGAATAGGTTACTCGCATATGTATACGTATGTATGTGAACAGCGACGTCTTTAATAATTAAACTAATCGATAAATCGATATGACGAATGTTAATCAATCACCTGATGTAGCGTGAGCGAAATGGATCCAACTGTTTGAATAACGGTACTTACGAAATGCGAGCAGAGTTGCACTGGAAGAAAATCCGCACAAACATATAGTTTGTCAAGAATCTCTTTACACCCGGAAAAAAATAAAATTTTTGACTAGATGAATGATATTTTATATATCATAACACTAAGTGAAATTATGTATATTCTATTTATAATAAAATCTATAAATAAATAATTTGGGAAATAATTGCATTTGGAATATAATTACATTTGGGAATTAAGTATCTCATTGAACAAATAATCAAATGATTCTTAAAAGTAAAACGATGTCGCAGTTCCACTTGAATTGTTCACCACAGGCACATCATCTCTCCTGATGTACTTCGGAATATTCGAATATAGATTCTTACCATTTGGCAATGAATTGGAGCCAATAAGTTTAATCTGAGAAATCCGTACTATTAATACGTCGTTTCCATTCCGGGCATGCTGATTGGAGAACAAATGAGTATATGCATCCCTCAGGAGTTGTATTCAGCATAAGTATCATCATTGACGACCATTCTACTTAAATCATTAACCTTATTGTACTTGCGCCTTTTATACGACAATTTGCTTATATGTAAATAAAAGACAGATTTTTTTTTAATCTTACTAAGGTTAATTAGTCTATTTGTGTATCATGTAGTCTATTATATTGGAATTGTGTCTTGTCTAAAGGTTTGAAAATGACAAAAAGAGAATTTGACTGTTCTTAAGTAGTCGAATTAGCTGTTTTTAAGCATCTTTTTGACTATGAACCTTAAATCTCTTATATGTCTGAGGATCACACTACATATATATATATGCATCTTAATTAGATTAATTCTTATACGTCTCACTTTTCACCGACTGTCGAAGTGACAGCTATATATAGATATATGAATGGATACATACATATATAAAGTGCGTGGGAGTATGTAAATATGAGTATGCATATATATGTCTATACATATACATATATATATATATGTGTTTAAGTGATGTCGAACTCCTCAAATAGGCTTGCCTTGGAGCTCTTCTTGGATTTCAGCCAAAGTTTTGCCTTTTGTCTCCGGCACAACGAAAGTGAAAAAGAAGGCGAGCAGTGCGATACCTGCGAAAATCCAAAAGGTTATAGCCGGTCCGGCAACACTTAAGCATATCGGAAACAATTTTGTGACAGTGAATCCAAATATCCAATTCAGTGTGCCACAAATGGCAGCACACAGAGGCTTCACATCTTCCGCAAATATTTCAGCCATGATCAGCCACGGCAAGTAACCAAAGCCCATCGAGAAGGCAAAGACAAATATGCAAATCGCCAATATTGGCATCCAGCCTACGTTCTTATCCCTTAGCCAATGAAAGTACGCTCCCATCAGGAAATGCATTACGCACATTACTGCAGCGGCGACAAACAGGAATATGCGGCGGCCGCAGCGATCGATGAACATGATAGCAGGTGCGACGGCAATACAACCTACAATTCCGAGTATAATGGTGCAGACCTCCGACGGTATTCCGGTTTTGGCCTCCTCAAAAATGCTTGTCGAATAGAAGGCAATCGCATTAATGCCAATAAATTGTTGCAGTGCCATCAGCGTTATCGAAATGCCAAGGCCCTTGAGGGTGGTCTTGCGACCCATAGCTTTGCGTATATTAACTTTCTCTTTTTTGATCTCAATAGAAATGGCTTGAATATCTGCGCTTATGTCCGCATCTTTGCCACGCAGCCAATGCAAAGCCTTCTCGGCCTTATCCGTCTTGCCTTTCTGAACGTAATACGCCGGCGTTTCGGGCATCCATATGAACAAAAGGAAATATACAAGGGGCACGACAGTGGAAAAGATATTAAAGATGAATAAAGGGACGTAGGCACCGACGGTGTAACTTATTAATATGCCAATTGTAAGCCATAGCTGATAGAAAGAGCCCATTACGCCGCGATTTTTCACCTCGGATATTTCCGTACAATAGATTTGCACCAGTACACAATAGACGCCAACCGATGCACCCGTTACGTATCGCCCCAGCTGTACCATTAGGACATGTGTAGCCGCCGTGATCAAGAGCCAGCCCAGCATTAATGGAATCAAAATCGCTATCATCACCATTTTCCGCCCTAAGACGCCAGCCATATAGCCAACCGGTAGGCAGGTGGATGCAGCTCCCAGAGTCATCAGCGAGGCAATCCACCCAAATTCGTCGCTGGTGGGCACAAATGAGTATCCTTTTCCCTTTGCTATTAGCATTTCCGCAGGACCCGACCAGCCCATGACCATGCCCAAGCACAGAGCCCCAAGTGAGCCAATCAAACCGGCAACATATTGCCTTTTTAAACACATATGTAAATAATAAAACTAGTAATTCCGAAATTTAAAAAAAAAAAATATTTTTCTTTAGACAAATGTGTATATGTGTGTGTTTCCCTACATACTGACGCACATTACTAAAAACAAAGCCTATATCCCCAAATGGCTTGAATTTCTTAACAATATTCTATACGATACAATACATCATATACATACACATAAACATATACACAAATATACATCATATAGGTATACATCATATACATATGATGAAAATTATGCAGCTAATGTACTATCATACCCTATATGTATGTACAGGATTTTAAATTATGATACTGGATAACGCTATCCAGGTATGTAATGAATGCACGCTTCTCGCTTGGAAACTAATGTAAGCTTAATCAAAAATCATTAACCAAATATTGCCACAATGAACCGATTTATTTCATTACATTTTCAGATGAGTAACCTTATTTACCAGCAAGCATACTTTGAATCTCTTCCAGAGGTTTGTTTTTGGTTTCTGGCACAAGAAAAACTATGAATACACAAGCTAAGATAGCAAAAATTGTGAATATAAAAAATGTATAAGCTGGACCAATCGCCCGTAGAATAACTGGAAACAGTTTCGTGACGGCAAATGCAAACAGCCAACTGCTGGTTCCAACAAATGCACCACATACAGGCTTCACATCCTCTGAAAAAAGCTCTGCCATAATTAACCAAGGCACCGGGCCAAAGCCCAAAGAAAATCCAACAATAAACAGACTGATGGCAAGAGTCGGTAGCCAGCCCAAGTCCTCATTTGTTAGCCATAGAAAATATAGTGCCATAACAAGCGTTGTCGCCCCCATCACAATAGCCGAGATGAGCAGCAACAATTTTCGCCCAGCTTTCTCTATAAGCAGTATCGCAATTACCGTAGCCACAACTTGAACGACACCAATAATAATCGTACAAACATTGGCGTCCAGATTCGTGCCTGCCTCCATAAAAATTGAGGTCGCGTAGAATAGAATGGCATTGATTCCCGTTAGCTGCTGCAGCAGCATTAATCCAATTGCGATAACAAGACCCTTCAGTGTTACTTTACGAGAAAACGCCTCCTTAAAAGAAGCCTCGTCTTTCTTTGATTCAGCTATCATAATGTTCATTTCTGCACTAATATCCGCATTTTCTCCTCGCAACCACTTAAGCGCCTTTTGTGATTTTTCTGGCTGACCCAATTGGGCCAGAAACACAGGAGATTCGGGTATCCACAAAATGAATAACATTAATAACAGTGGCAATATGGTACACAATATGTTAACCACAAGTGGGGAGGTGTACGCGCCCACAACAAAGCCGTAAAGTATGCCATGAACAATCATTAACTGGAAAAAACAACCCATTACACCACGGACTGAGAGCTGAGCGACTTCCGTTGTGTAAACGGGAGCCGTAACACAAAACGCTCCGCCGGAGGCACCCACTATAAGCCGTCCAACGTAGAGCATCGATGAGTGTTGCGCGCCCAAAATAAATCCCCATCCAATTAAATACGGTATGCATAGCACTAACATAATAAATCTTCGTCCATATCTTGCAATCAATATGCCAACGGGTATACACATGCAGGCAGCTCCAAAAGTCAACATTGAACTGATCCAACCCCAACTACTCTCGGATACAGCAAACTTGTACGCCTCCCCCGATTTGATTGGTAATTCCATTGGTCCGGACCAGCCAATTGATGCACCTAGACAAAAAGCTCCAAACGCCGCTGCCAAGCCGGCTAAATATTGTCGTATTACAGTCATATTAAGCTATTCTGCAAATCTAAAATAAACTTCAAAACTAAGAACAAACGTACGAAAATTTTAATTTTTTTGTTTTTGAATTATATAATGAAACGTAGAAAATAATGCTGGTATACATTCGTCAAACTATATACACATATCAAATTTCGAAATCCAACTGGACTCCTCACTTGTAGTTTCGATCAAAAGCGCTCAACCGAAGCAAAGCAGCCTTGACCCAAAGCAAAATCTTAAATTTGTATTCCCCAGCGTTCTACTGCCTTGTTGTACAGTCAAATGAACAAAAAGGTTAATATGTTCATATTCACCACGGATCCAGCATATACAGTGTTGCCACACTGCGATTGGGCCATCTGCCATCATGAAATTCACCACAGACGCATCGCTACCCGCGACCTGTTTCAAAGCGTATGCAAAGTCCTTGGTTCTCCTACAAAATGCGTGGAATTCATTCGAAAAGAAAACTTATGCACACTAAAATTCAAAGACGACATTATAAGTGTTTTTGACACCTCTGCTAGGGACACAACTCCATTGGGAAACCCTCAAAGATGCACAGAAGCAGCAATGTGACCGTCATAATGCAATTGACAGGCATCACAACTGTTGGGGTATTTACGATCGATGAAGATGGTCGGTCGATGTACAAACTTTGACACCTCTGCTAGCCACAAATTTCCACAACGACTCTGGTTACGTTTTAGTTTATGCAGGCAAATACATGAAGACAATATCAGCTTCATCTCCCTCCAATCTGCGCAATTACCAATGACCGCGACAAAGGTTGAATATAAACTTGTAATTTGTGAATTGTATAAGCTGTAATCATGGCGCGAATGGATAAAAATTTCGTATATAGGCTCCTGAAAGAATATGTAGAGTGAAAGAACTTTTCTTCTACGGCTTCTACGACTCGGCCGTTGCACCCAACCAAGAATAGTGTTAGCTATTCCGCCTTCTTACATACATTTACAATTACAATTACATATATTTAAAAAAAAACATTATTTATTTATATATAAAAATATAAACATAAATCACACATATTTGTGTATATATTTGAAATTTATATCTGAAATGTAATCCATTAGTTGTTCAACATTTCTTTGATTTCGGCATAGGTCTTCCCTTTCGTCTCTGGTACAAAAAAGTATACAAATATTAAGTACAAAAATGCAATGGCTGTAAAAATCCAGAAACACAATGACATATTCCCAATTTGCAGTAAATAGGGAAATAGCAATGCGCTGGCAAATGCGAATAGACAGTTAAACGTCCAAATTATACTATATGCCATAACGTCAATGTTTTCTCCAAAGTACTTTCGCATTATGACGTATGGCAAAACGCCCACACCCAGTCCAAAGAAGAAAAAGAAACAGCAAAGGTTTACAATGGGTAGCCACTGAATCGCGTACTCATGGTTGTCCTTAAGCTGAAAATACGTGGCCTGCACAGTACAATTTAGAGCCACCATAACGACTGACCAAATCATCAGTATCCGATGCCCAGCGCAATCGATTAATGAAATTATGCCAGATAGTAAGAAAGATAGGCCAATAAATATGGTGGAAACTTTGACGTTCAGGAAAATTTGGCTATCGGCGTCAGTTAGTATCAATGTAGAATACGTTAGAATGGCCACGCTGCCACAAAGGTGCTTGAAGCCCATCAGGCATATGCATGTCAACATAGCCCTTATCGAAGCTTTGTGCTTTAGTTTTCGACAAGTGTACGAACTATTCTCCCGAATCTGTTCGATTCCTTTAAAAATGTGGTCATACTCTCTTAATACGTCCATGTGCGTGCCTCGTAGCCATTGAAGCGAACGAATTGCCTTCATCTTCTTGTCCTTAAGCACATAATAGACTGGCGACTCCGGCATCCATATGAAAGTGAGCAAAAATAATGCGGGAAAAACAGCACACCCACAATTTAGATAGAGCATATCGTTGACAGTGCCCAGGATATAAGAATATAGGATTCCCATCAAATAGAATACCATCGTGAAATTGACAATATATGACTTCACTTCCAGTTGCGAAATTTCTAGACAATATATGGGTGTAATCATTGCATAAAAGCCGCTGCATAGGCCTTGCAATAGTCGCGAGAACATTAGCAGGTACAAATTAATCGGATAAATCGTTAGAGCCCATCCAGCTAAATATGGAGGCATCAGTAGCAACATAGCCACCTTGCGGCCAACACAATTGGCTAATGCTCCGGCCGGCATTACGGTTAGGCCGCACCCTAAAGTGGCCAGTGCACAGGTCCAGGCATATTCGGTGAGACTTACTGGAAAGCCATAATATTTTTTCTCCATAACTTCGATCTGTGCAGGCGCGGCCCAGCCGATTGTGGCACCACAGGTAAATACGCTAAGGGATGCAAAAAATGCCGCTATATATTGATTCTGTCCTCCAGGTCTGTCCCAGAAACTTGACATATTAAAATTTTGATAAAAAAAATAGATTTTTCGTTCTTCTCAATTTATAAAAATAACAAATACAAACATAAATCTAAAGTTAACAGCGCTCGAACATAGATTGCACCACAACAGTGTGGCCATCTCGTTTGTAGACAAAATGCAGCCAACCTCACGCGTATGGTGGTGACATTGTTTTGAGTGTGCATTGTGTTCATTGTTTTGCGCATTAAATGTTTGTAAACGAGTCATCTTGCATTGAATAAATATCTGAGATAAACACTTGTTACATTTTCTACCTAAAAGTATAACTGTAACCATGTCGATCGTTAGTGATGATGAGTGGTCCCTCTATAAGGTAATGTTTATTGGACGAAACAACTATACAACCAATCTAATACATCTCTGAACTTTAGAATATGCACAATAAGAAATATGTCGGAGATGAAGATCAAATGCGTCGTTCGTTATATGAGAAAGCTAAGGCCAAAATGGTGGAGCATAATAAGAAATACGACAGCGGAGAAGTAACTTGGAAAATGGGCATTAACCATATGACCGACTTTACTCCGGAGGAATATGCTTGTAGATGTGGATCTAAAGCACCCAAATAACGAACCTCACGTACACAACATTTGTCCTAAATAAAAATATATTCTATGTATCATATATCCGTATACTTATCGATGCAACCAAAATTAAAACTTGTTGATGCTAACATTTAATTTTGTTAGTTGAATAATCTGGTTACACTATAAACAGACAACTGTTGATATTTTGCCAGGCATGCTATATACTCAAAAATAATGAGTAATCAAAACAAAGAATTGTAAAACCAATACTTCAAATATTATTAAATTCCAGGAAAACATTTAACAGCGGAACAAAACATGTTAATTCACAAAAGTATCGATGCCAGCGGCTGAGCGATAATTGTTTGTACCCCTGGTATGAAATGTATTTCTCAGTTTTCCGAACTCGGGTCACACTGCGTTCGACATATAACTTTTAAAAGTTTGTAAACTTTTTTATTCACATTGCCACAAAAACGCATAGGTCGTGCGTTTTTACTCTCACTTTTATAAGCCAACACTGTCTGAGTGGCTCGGGCACAAACTAGACTAAAGTGTATCTTCTATTGTAGAGACACAGCTGAGCAGCAACAACCAACATGTCCGGAATTATGCGTGCGCCATCGATTTTGGCCAAAAATGCATTCGCCTCAATGGTAGGTATCCATACAATGTAATTATTTAATTAACAATGGTATGTATTTACTAGGCAAGATAACTAACTCCTCAGAAAGTAAATCTGTATGTCGGCGAAGCCTATAGCAGTGCGACCAATATTTCGGTCCTCAACGAACCCGTGGCAGTGTTATGTAATTTGTTAAATTTGTGCTTGGCCAAATGATTGCAATGAAGTTTTTCTAGCATTGCGTAAACGCGAATCATTAACAATTTAACATTTAAATTGACTGTAATTATATTGGCCACATTCAAATTATAAGTGTAAATAATACACAGAGGTTATGTTACACGTACCCCGCACCGAAATTCTTCCGTCCAATAAATTTGGCAACAGATGCGACATCGAAATTCGGCTTTCTGATAGGCGTTGTCAGTGAGATTGTTTTTTGTGTTATTTAAGCGTTTTGTCGTGCTGATAAGCCCACACATTCAATGTCCACATGCGAGAGAGGCGCGACCGGTGATCCACAGCTGATTATACAATGCACATTATTGAAATGAGCTACACTTAAAATGCTAATTATTACATAAGCAACTCATTGTTTATGTGTGTGTTGCTTCAAGCGGCGCTTTAACTGATAAACCTCAATACACTTGTCAAAACTCGTCAATGAGAATCTTCCCATGGCGTGTGGGGCTCTCTTTATTCTGCACAAATATTTAACACACATTCACGTTTCGGGATATATATGTATAAATATGTAGCATTTTTTGCAAAAACAAGTCATCTTATCTTGATATTTCCATTAGCACTTCCAGTTCAGATATTGCGATAATTGTGCCTCATGCAGCAATAGCAGAAATATAGATTCTTTCGCATGTATATATATATATATATATATATATATGTGTGTCACAGATGTGAGAAAGTGTGTTAGCCAGTGTTACTAGATCTCAATACCAAATAAACCTGACTTTAATTACCTAGCGGATTTTTGAAAACCGCACGCTAAAAAGAAGAAGAACATATACAAATTATATAGCAAATCCAAGTTTCTCACATCTCTATAATATTGAAATTTGGAGATAAATTCTAATTGAATCTTACTGTGTTGCATGATTCCCGCTAAATAGTGCCTATTAAAATATGTCTATTTTTCAGGAAAACAGCTGACCTTAAATTGCAATTCATTCGTATCTTATACACTTCATAAATGGCGTGACTAATTGCGATTATCTCGTAATGTTTCATTAAATCTAATCTACATGCAATTTGTCAATTATAGCAACGTGTGGCAACAGTGGCTGCCGCAGCGACGCAGCAGCATCGCGGCTATCATATAACGCCCGGGCAACAGCAGTCCAAATCAGCGAATCCCGATGCCATCTCCAAGCAATATCCGATTGTAGATCATGCATACGATGCGATTGTTGTCGGGGCCGGCGGCTCGGGACTGCGCGCTGCCTTTGGCCTGGTCGCTGAAGGATTCCGCACAGCAGTAATTACGAAATTGTTTCCCACACGCTCCCACACGATTGCTGCTCAGGGTGGCATTAATGCTGCGCTTGGCAATATGGAGGAGGATGACTGGAAGTGGCACATGTACGATACGGTCAAGGGCAGCGATTGGCTGGGCGACCAGGATGCCATACATTATATGACACGCGAGGCACCCAAGGCTGTCATTGAGCTGGAGAACTATGGCATGCCCTTCTCTCGCACCCAGGACGGCAAGATCTATCAGCGCGCCTTTGGTGGCCAGAGTCTGAAGTTTGGCAAGGGCGGTCAGGCTCACAGATGTTGCGCTGTTGCGGATCGTACCGGTCACTCGCTGCTACACACCCTGTACGGTCAGTCGTTGAGCTACGATTGCAATTACTTTGTCGAGTACTTTGCCCTGGATCTGATCTTCGAAGATGGCGAGTGCCGTGGCGTGCTGGCCATTAATTTGGAAGATGGCAGCCTTCATCGTTTCCGTGCACGGAATACGGTTGTGGCCACCGGTGGTTATGGACGCGCCTTCTTTTCCTGCACCTCGGCGCATACGTGCACTGGCGATGGTACCGCATTGGTGGCACGTCAGGGCCTGCCCTCAGAGGATTTAGAGTTTGTTCAGTTCCACCCGACGGGTATCTATGGTGCCGGCTGTCTTATAACTGAGGGCTGCCGCGGCGAGGGTGGCTATCTGATCAATTCTAAGGGCGAACGTTTCATGGAGCGCTATGCGCCTGTCGCCAAGGATTTGGCTTCTCGCGATGTTGTCTCCCGCTCCATTACCATTGAAGTCATGGAGGGCCGTGGTGTTGGACCCGAAAAAGATCATGTATTTCTACAGCTGCATCATTTGCCGCCCAAACAGCTGGCTGAACGTCTACCCGGCATTTCAGAAACTGCTATGATTTTCGCCGGCGTCGATGTGACCCGCGAGCCCATCCCCGTGTTGCCCACCGTGCACTACAACATGGGTGGTATTCCCACTAATTATCGCGGCCAGGTGCTCACCATTGACAGTAACGGCAAAGACAAGATTGTGCCCGGTCTCTATGCGGCCGGTGAGGCAGCCTGTAGCTCGGTGCATGGCGCTAATCGCTTAGGCGCCAACTCTCTGCTGGATCTGGTGGTCTTTGGCCGTGCCTGCGCTAAGACCATTGCTGAGGAAAACAAACCTGGTGCGCCAGCGCCCGAGCTGAAGGATGTAAGTCAACTATATCTATATATTCCTGATTTTCTTTGATTTTCTGATTTTTTAATCATTTACAGAATGCTGGGGAGTTCTCTGTGGCTAATTTGGATAAACTGCGCCATGCAAATGGTAGTATAACCACTGCTGATCTGCGTCTGAAGATGCAGCGTTGCATGCAAAACCATGCTGCTGTATTCCGCGATGGTCCCATCTTGAAGAAGGGCGTTAGCGAAATGAAGGAGATTTACAAACAGTTCAAGGACGTCAAAGTTATTGACAAGTGTGTAACTCCAAAATTTGCTGAAACTTTCCTATTGATTATTAATATGTTTTCACGAGTTTAGATCACTTGTGTGGAACTCTGACCTGATTGAGACACTGGAGCTGCAGAATCTGCTGGCCAATGCTCAGATGACTATTGTCGGAGCCGAAGCGCGCAAAGAATCACGCGGTGCCCACGCACGCGAAGATTTCAAGCAGCGTATCGATGAATATGTAAGAAAAACAAGAGCTCGAAATAAGCTTTAATTTAACTACTTCTTATTAATGCTTGGTTTTGTATATGTTACAGGACTATAGCAAGCCCTTGGAGTCGCAGCAGAAGAAGCCCATCGAGGAGCATTGGCGTAAGCACACGCTCGCCTGGGTGTGTAACGATGATGGCGATGTAGACCTTAAATACAGACCAGTTATCGATGAGACGCTGGACAAGGAGGTCGAGACGGTACCACCAGCAATTCGCTCCTATTAGAAGACACAAAAACCTACATACACACACACACACTCGAACAGAAAATAAACACACACTCGCATGTTTACTTAACAGTTAGCAAGCAAATTGTGAAAAAAAATTCGATAGTCGCAAATGTGAAAAATTTTCTGCCAATTTTTTACCTGATTGGATTTTTGATGTCAAAATTATATGTTTTTATTTTGAAACGCTTCTCAGTGTCCTCTACAATAACAAATAATTTGTTTTCATGGTTTGAAATGTATATATATATATATATAAATATATTTGTATATATATAGATATATGTATATATATATATTTAACTGAGCGACATTTGTGCAAACTTTAGTCAAAGACGACAACGACGCCTTTTTCTGTAAACAACAACGTCAGGAATAACAATTTTTTAGTATTTGTTAAACTTATTAAATTATTAAAACAAAGATATGTAAAAAAATATATATATATAAAAAACTAAATACTAAATGGCAAAGAATTACATTTACTAAATATTAATAATATATCAGGCTATTAGTGCTTCTCCACTGCAGCTTGCATTGGTAATATACATAACATATAGAAAAGTTTGTAAAAACTAGTCTGCAGGAAATTTTCTATATTTTAAGTAAGCTTACAATGTTTGTTACTAGCCTGAATATTATATAAACAAAGAAATTGAAAAGTAGGTTGTTAAGCTTGTAAGCTTAGTTTAGTTAGGTGAACTTAAGACTATCTGCACCAATGTTAGCCTTGAAAAACATGAATCTGTTCCGGCTTCAATTGTAGTTCCTTTAAGCTGTTAGCCGCAGCTGTGTTAAAACCTGCGGGACCACATACAGCCACAAAGCTGAAAGTTTCGGCTTGCTGCCTATTGAACAAAGGCGTTAGCAGCTCTTGAGAGATACGGCCACCCGCCTCCGACAAAATGTTTTTACAAGTGAATCGTTCATCGGAATCCTGTAGAGCTTGAAACTTATCCTTTAGCCAGATATCAGCTTGAGTCTTGTTAAAATATAACAGTTGAAGACGTTCGCTGTGAGAAGAGCTTTGATTATTAAGAGCATAAGTAGCTAAATCGCAAAGCACTTACATGCGATTCGTCTGACGCTTGAGCAAAGGCCGCAACAGACTTAATATGGGCGTAATACCGCTGCCCGCAGCCAAGAGGAGTATGTTGCGATGTGATTCTAATGCGGACAGCTTGAAATTACCACGCGGCAGACTCAATTGCACTGTGGTACCTGGTTGCAGCTGCTTTAGCTGACTGGACACTGCTCCTTTTTCATAGTACTTGATAAGAAATTCATTTCTTACGTTTGGACTAGCATCGGCGTCGATTTGTTCGCTATTAGAATGAAGGCAGTTGTGTGGCACGGGTGTATAACTGCGCTCTAGCAACTCACCATTGTGTGGGAGCAGTATGTCCAAATGATAGCCCACTGGCAGATGCAAAAGCACCGATTGCTTAATGCTCTGAAGGCATAACTCAAAGGAATCATGATTGAAGAGCTCGCACAGCACCACCTCATATGTCAAGTGCTCTGCGTAAGTTGAATTTAATTTACTAATCTCCTGAGTGCCATATGTTAGCCATGGTTCGGCCACCTGCTTGGTGAGTACGACTTCAATTTTGCCCGTTTCCGGACCTACACGCACAGCCCTCGGTGGCCACACTACGGCGGCGCTAAGCTTAAAATCAAAGACATGCCAGCAGCTCGCCATTTGGACACGTAGCTCCAACTCCACCTCAGACGTGTCCTTTCGCTTTAGCAGCAAACCAGGATTAGCCATGCGTCGTGTATAAAAATAGAGTGTCAATTCACTTCGCTGTTGAATCCAATCGAAGCGTGGTACAAGCTCCGTTGGCGCCGGAGGTGGACGGATTAGATCTGCTTCTACGTTGGTCGCAACATTCTCCTTCAACGGGCCCACATAGCATTTGCCCAGCAATTGAGGATAATTTACCCAAGCGTGCACTTCGTCAAACAGCTTGGTAGCATCACGTCCTACACCGCGCATTAACTCATCTACACCGCCCGGATGAAAATCCATGTAGCGAGTCACATTGAATACTCTGCCTCGAATGGCCATCCACGCATCGTGCACTTGATTGTGCAGAGCCAGCTCGCTACGACTAACTGGTACAACGCGTCCTCCGGTGCCCGAGAGATCAGCGCCAGAATTGCATAGACGTATCCAACTCATTAAAGAGTAACCAGGCTTTAGTGCACATTTATTGCGCGGATTGCCTGTTGCCGAGCCCGAGCTCGCCAATTGCTGTGCCGATGAGCTGGGCAGCTGTAAGCTATTGGCAGCTAAGACAGCCACAGCTGGTGGTTTGAGTGGAGTTTTCTCTACTGATACTGGCGGTTTCAACTGTGAATCGGTCATCATGCAGTTTACTTGTTATTGTTATGGGCTCAACAGTTGAAACTTAGAAATCAGCTGATTGCAATCGATAACATAATGGTATAACAGCTGTAAGACTTGAAATCTATCGGAAGCCTTAAATAGTAATAGTAAAATAAATGTGCTTTAAATAATCAATCAGTCAAGTAAATACAAAAAAAAACTATATTATTTTAAAATATTTAAATTAATAATAAAATAAATTAAAAATAATTTAAATAATAATACAATATCACAGATGTGAGCTGCATACTGCGCTACCATTTTGTTAGTGCCTAACAAACCAGCTCCGTTTTGTCAGTTCTTAACGAATCGGTCAGCTGTTCGGATCGTTGTATTTGCGGGTAAAGTTCCTGTCGCCTGACACAATCTAATTTTTGTGTATGCATTTTCAATAGCCATTGTACAAATATCGTGACGATTTTTGCTTGAATAACAAAAAAATACCAAGAAAATTAACTGTCATTTTTTCTGTGTAATCCAACACGCATAGACAACAAATTTCCATTGCTACTGCGTGGGGTTGTGTGTATAATTGTGTGCATCATTCAATGGAATGAATACTATAAATTGGCGCATTATTTGATGCTTCATTGAGAAACTGGTTTAATGTAAAATGAGTGACACACAGTGGAAAATTTAAATCGTTTTTATTTATGCATTGTATAAATACAACTACTGCACATACGTTTGTATACATATTTGTTTGTTTATATGTATTTAGCAGTCAGCATCAATTTGCTGAAGTTAATATCAACAAGGTGGTTCTTATTAGTGTTCGATATTAAATTTCCTTACACTTGAGTGCTTTATCCTTTTATAATTTCATTATGTATATACTTTTTTTGCATGATGTCATTGTCCAGCAAGCGCTTGCCGGTCGTTGCGTTTGCTTTGCCACCTTTCGCTACCCGGCCCCACAAATACGCACACGCATACACATACATAGTCAACCACACCCGCACTGACAGTTGCTCTACTCATTTCACTATTGAATTCTCTGCGCGCCCGCAGTTCTACGAATTTGACACTTAATTTCTTGCACACGCAACCAAATGCGCTCACCGTTAGTCCTCGTTCTCTCTCCTCATCTATTAACTAATAGTTACTCTCACGCAACAAGTGTTGTTAACGTCTTTGCATAGGCCTATCATATACAAAAATCTCGATCACGAACACGTTTGATGATATTGACTGCAATCTTATCGGACATATAATCCGGTTTTTCTTTTACACATTATCTTTACTTGATAATATATCAAACTTTGCGCAAACCAATTGGTAAATTTAGTATTAATAATTAGCTGTTGATTCGTATGTATATAAAATATTTGCTGTCATGTGTAAATTGAAGCGTGTCCATTTGGAAGCCGCGCAATTCAATTAAACTTATTAAGAAAGCAAACTGTGCTCGAACAAATTGCGATATGCTGCGTCAAACAAATGCCTGATAAGAAGTTGTAACAATAACATCAATGTTGAGAGCTTGTACCCAACTGCGACCATGACAGACAATTACACAATGTCACCGCACTGTGTGAGATAAGGCGAAAAAAGAGACGAGCAGCGTCCTTCAACTTGGTGAAACTCAGACTGAACGACATACAAAGAGAAAACGAAAGAACAAGGAAAATAAGAGACAGATAGGATAAATTGCGGCATATGCGACGTCCCTATGCACTGTAAAAACCTTAACATTTAAAATAATTGTTTTAAATTAATTATTTATAATTATTAATGAATTATATTTTAAGTTATTTAAATCAATTAATCTGAGTTTTGAGCTTCGTTTTTTTGATTTAATTGATTTTTAAATTTGAGCTTTGAGCTTTTTTAGATGTAATGCTTAATTGACTTGCCCGCCATTGACACTTAAGACCCTAGTGCCATGACTAATTTCAATCTTATCGAATATACATTTTCAGGTATGGCTTGTGAAATGAGTCACACTGTGAAGTTTCTGAACTCTACAGCTCTCGTTCCGAGTAATAAGCTTGTGTAGTTCCAAACGTCGACTACTTTTCCCAGTTAATCTGTGTTATTGCAATCACCATAAAAGTCCAAAGTTAATCCCGTTGGCTAATTCGACAGCATGCATTGAACACCGATAAGATAATGAGGCACTAGTAGATATAGAATGGCAGCTCTACATATGGCAACAATGCTAAGCTGCAAAGATTTAGTCGTTTGATGAACTTGGTTGCTCACTTTTTTGTTTATCAGGCAAAGCCACATGCAGAATTATTTGTGTATGAAAAATGATTAGAAATTGCTCATTTATATTATATGTACGGCCAAAAATAATCTCAACTTGTGTTTTTTTTTTAATTTTTGAATTTAAAAACATTAATTATACATATATACTACATACACACGCTTCATTTCAAGATTTGCGCTTCATAAATTATTTGAAAAGTCACTGGAATGGAAAAGTTTGCATTCTTTAATATTTATAACACACGCAAAACTGGGGTCTACATACTTAAGTGTATGTATAGCCTACTTCCAAAACTAAACAGTTGCCAGCACTAATATTGCCTTCGAAACTTATTTGCTTAAAATATTGTAGAGATTAAAGTGAATAACAGACTATATCAAGTTAGAATTTATCTAAAAAATAGGTAGAATCGAATTACGACTGCTTAAAGACTACAGAATATATAAAGACATAAAGGTATTTTAGATTAAGGTCATCTGTGTTGTGTGAACTTAGTAGAGAAATTGGTAAATTTAATATTATGTGAAATTTAGTATATTAAAAAAGAAGCAGGTCTTTAAAATTGGGAAATACATATAAGAAGTATAACTTTTAGAAATACTCATTACAAAAAATGGTTCAAATGTTCTACGAAGTATACGACCATCGATTTCCCCACAAATAAACTTTTTGTTGTTTATGTTTGGCAAATTGGCAATTGTTCGTTAGTTCTCGGCATTATATCCGTTTGCCGCCGCCGCCGCCATTGCTGTTTACTCATATGTATTGTTCCCGATCCGTTGGGCAGATAAGTTTTGTGAGGCCCAGACATCATAAACTTGATAATGGATATGACTCAGTCGAAGTTGTTGCGGCGATCGAGGGGGCACGTGGCGATATTTAAGTGGCTGCTTTGATAGCTAAAAATAGTGGGGCTCTGTACATATAAGCCTATGAAAGTTCATCGTCCAAATATATATATACACACAATATATATATATATATATTTATGTATATATGTATATAATCAATATGCGACAAGAATTTAGATTTGAATAATTTTATTAAACAGCATTTATAAAAAAGTATATTTATATGCATTATTAATCGTCCATAAAAAATTCTTAATATGCACTTATCTATTTTACATATTGCGAATAAATGCGATTGAACGAGTCAATAGAATATGCTTCTAAACTTTTCGTTTTCAAGCATAAGCTATTTAATTCGTTCACGAACTGCAGTTAATTCAAAAAAGAGCGGACTTGAACCTGTTCATAAAATTGAACCATACAGTTCAACTCTAGTTTTGAATCCTGTTAGCAAATTTGAATAAGGCCGTTTCCTGCAATGTTAAGTTTTTATTATAGTGCTGTTATTAACATGAAGCGTAGCAGTCATACTGTTAATCCAATACTCTGCCAGCCTAAAGCATTTTTATCGCCCAGATAAACCGAAAATACATTAATAAAATGCGCTCATGGAAATGTTTACATAAGATACATTCAAAAGCTCTTATTGTCTGTTTCTTATCTACACTTTTTTCTTTTCACATCTTTGCAGAGAATTAACACATGGGCCTGGTCAAGCACTGGAACTCGAATACAATTATAAAAACGACTTGCTAACAATATATATAGATATTTATAGCAGTAGGTAGACATTCCATTAGACGCCATGCCGGAGAAGCAATTGGAGCAGGGGAGCGTGTCTCTTAGCCGCATGATTGGCGCCTTCGTCTTTGGACTGTTGCAATCCTTCTTTCGATTTATCTTTCGTTTGATATATGGCGCCAGCGGCAAACGCATGCCGGCTATAACGGATCCCATCCTCCTCGAATCGGCCACTTCGTTGGCCAGTAAAATACGTAACCAAGAGGTACAGATAACAAATCTTCCAAATCTCATCCCTAGCAGCTAATATATTCATATTTTGTACAGCTCAGCAGCGTTCAGGTTCTGGAATCGTTTATACGCCGCGTCAAGGAAGTGAATCCCTTGCTAAACTGTGTCGTCGATCAGCGCTACGATGACGCACACAATGAGGCAGCCGCAGCGGATGAACTGATCAAGTCCGGGCAATATACAGTAGAAGAGTTAGCCACGTTGAAACCCTTTTTGGGCGTGCCCATCACAACAAAGGACTGCATAGCGGTTAAAGGTGAGGTTCAGGCGAAAAATAAAATACAATTGAGTAATGTTATTAATATATCAATTATAATTTTAAATAGTTCAAGGTATATTAATTTGAATTCACTTTATAATAGTTTTGTCAGTTTAGATTAGCTAGAAAACGAACTTAAAAGTTGTCAAATGCATCTAACAACTAAATTAGTTTTTTATTATACTCATTCACGAAATGAAAGAGATATCAAATCGGGTAAAAATTTCCACAGCTATAGGGCTTAAGTTTGGCATGTGAGTCACTTTTAAATTCTCTACAAATTGACGAAAACATTTTATTTTACCAAACACTTTGCCTCTTATGGGGTATATAGAAAATACCCTGTAATTGCCACAGTTTTGGAGCTTAATTCCCAAAATTTTACGTTAATGTAGACTTCTAAGGATGGACCAAAATTTCGAATTTGAAAAAACCACATCTTTCTAGCTTTTGGAGCTGACAGCGTTTTGACCGTAAATGAGTATTATGCAGTCGGTAGCTACCTGGTTTTTTTTAAATATTGTACTAGGTTTAATATCATAATTGGTTGTAAAAAAATTTTCAATTGATTCGTTGAATATCTTTACTTAGCGAAAACCATATCATCAGGGGTAAAAGTTTCTAGCTTATCTAAAAAAATTGCAAAATAAAGATAAGCAACATTCTCATTGTTCAACTTTTATAACAAAAATGATGCTATAAGCGGGTAAAAAATGCTTTAATTAAAAAGAGTATATATCTTTGTATATATAAAATAAGCACACATATATTAATGCCAACTGATTTCTCTTTGCAGGCATGCTCCATACAGCTGGATTGTATTCGCGTCGCGAAGTCCGCGCAGAAAATGATTCGGATGCGATGGGATTGATGCGAAAAGCGGGCGCCATTCCCTTTGCGCTGACCAATGTCTCCGAGATGTGTATGTGGTGGGAGAGCAACAATACGGTGCATGGCAGAACGAACAATGCCTACGACACGAATCGTATTGTGGGCGGCTCCAGCGGCGGCGAAGGTTGTGTCCAATCGGCCGCCGGCTCACCGTTTGGCTTGGGTTCCGATATTGGTGGATCTATTCGGATGCCCGCCTTTTTCAATGGCATATTTGGCCACAAGCCCAGCAAAATGATCGTTTCGAATAAGGGCCAGTTTCCTACCCCATTCAGTGAGGAACAGAACTCCTTTTTGGGTCTGGGTCCCATGTCACGTTTCGCCGAGGATCTGCGACCCATGCTGCATATTATGGCTGGGGATCGGGCGGAGCTATTGCAGCTGAACAAGCCGGTGGAGCTAGAGAAAATGAATTTCTTCTATCAGGAATCGGATGGCGGCGGTCGGATGGTATCCGCCGTCGATAAGGATTTGCTGCAGGCCATGCGTCGTGTGGCCGAGCACTTGAGCAAGAAATTTGGCAGTGGTCAGGTAAAACAGCTTCAGCTGCCACAGATACGCCAATCGGCTGCCATTTGGTTTGCTAACATGCGTGATGATTCCGGACATGGCTTTAGCTACCAACTGGGCAATCTGCGATACGATATCAACACCTATTTGGAGCTGCTCAAGTGGCTGGTGGGTGCCTCCAAGCATACATTGATTGGCCTAATCACCGCCGTGATGGATAATGCACAGTGCCAGCATGGCTCCTCTAAATACAAGCATATGGTGGCCAAGCGGGATGAATTGCGTGCCACTCTACAGCAGCTGTTGGGGGATAATGGTGTATTCATCTATCCCACTCATCCCACTGTGGCGCCCTATCACAACGAACCCATACTGCGTCCCATTAACTTCTCTTACACGGGCATAGTGAATGTGCTGGGCTTCCCGGCCACAGCTGTGCCGCTTGGTTTGGGCAGCGAAGGCTTGCCGCTGGGCGTGCAGGTCATAGCTAACTTCAATCAGGATCGATTGTGCCTGGCCGTAGCCGAGGAGCTAGAGCGTGAGTTTGGCGGCTGGCAGCGACCCGAGGTGCGACTGTGAAGCGCACTCTTTTTATTATAAATTATATACACAGCCGAAAGTAGTTTTTAGTATTTGGAAATTGTTTCCTGGGCCCCGCAATTAACCCACCAAACACAAAGTAACAGCGGCTTGGTATATACTATATACAAACGATCTATCAGCATGTCCTCTTTATATTTATGTATATGAGATGTGTGTATGTGAACTGTAAAATATGCATATTATATGCATTTTAGTGCCTCGTAATATCAATATTTCGATGTATTTTTATTGCTATTATAATTACTTTGTATACAATATGTTTTTAATCATAAATTTAGCAGTAATCTAAGCTCACATTTGATTTTGCATTTAAAATAAAACACAAATTGTTAACTATTTTTGAAACTTCACTTCTCCCAGCGTATTGATCAGCGTACTGCGCGCACAACTTGTATGTAGCAGCATACTGCGCTACAGAAACACGTGACAGCCAAACTTTAAGGGAATCATGTTAAATAACATTTACATTACATTAACATTACATGGACTTAACAACGGAACTTTAACCGCACTATTTGAAGAGAAGTTCATGTTAGAAATGAAAAATATCAAAGATCTTATAAAATGCTGCCAAAATACAGAACGATTTGAAGCTTGAACATAATACAGCAAACAAACATCCATATATACTAAATTACAAAATTGTTAAACATTTTCGTACACTTTCCAGGCAACACGCACGTCACAAAGAATACCCAACTGTGCGCCAACCTAACCACAACACTAACCATAATTATATCGAGAATATTAATAACAACAGTCACAATAACAACAGCAATAAGATGAGCAAAACAGATCCGATATCGCTCAGCTTCCACGACTCCTGTCTGCGCATGTCCGACGTCCAACTGCTGCACGGACCGCGTTGGCTAAACGATCAGGCAAATACCTCAATTAATTAACTAATAGCTCTGTATATTCATATATTGTATATTTTGCTTACAGATCTTAAGCTTCTACTATGAGTATCTGTCGCATGTCAAGTACAAGAACAACAATGACTTGTACTTTATAGCGCCCGAGGTGACGCAGTGCATGAAATATATGGATGATTCTGAGCTGGCGATGCTGCTGGACAAGAACAATGTTGCTTACAAGCCGTTCATATTCTTTGCTCTCAACGATAACGGAGCCACTGAGGAAGGTGGCACCCATTGGTCGCTGTTGGTGATGTCACAGCCCGAGAAGACATTCTTTCACTTTGACTCTTTCGGTAATAGCAATACGGCTACATCGGTGAAGCTGATGAATAGATTGAAGGACTTTCTGGGCATGCGTCTGGCCAAGTTCTGTCCGATGCGCTGTCTGCAGCAATCGAATGGCTACGACTGTGGCATCCATGTCATCTGCATGACCGATCATATAGCTGATTATGTGAACCGCTACGAGATGATACACGGTCTGCCCGGACTGCACATCGAGACTGTGAAGGCCAAGCGAGCCGAGCTGCTGAAGCTGATCCTCTCTCTGGGAGGCAGTTGTTAATCCGGCCCTTCCTCATATATATATATATATATATATATTTCGATGTAATCCGAAAACTGAATACCGAATGCAGATGAGTGTGTGTAATGTGATCGAAATGTGTACACTTAACGATATTGATATGGATTATATATAGTTGATTAGAGTATTGTATTCCCTCCATCTGGCTGTGTATTATAATAATGATATTGATATGAATCGTATTCATCCGACTAAATTGCTTGCCCTTTACTGTTTAGATGATTGTTAAGCTCTATAAATAACTGTCTGACCATCCTGTTATAGTTGTGTATTTGGGTTGTTATTTGTACTAGACAAAGCTAGTCAACTTTGTCTGATCAAGCTGAATATGAAATTAGTTTTTGATTATTTTGTGTAATAGATTTATAATCTTAAGCTAAATTGAATTTATTTTCTTAACATGTTGTGATATATTTTAGGATATGATTAATTCCAGTGAACTTTTTGTCTGTTCTGATATTTCATGGACCAATCGAAATTTAACAATAAATTATTTAAATTATATACATACAAAAAAAGTCTTACAAAGTATATTTCTTATTATGCACCAAATGAAACTGCAGCAACAAAATGGAAAAAGTTATGATGGAGATCTGCATCTGGAACCAGCTGCGACGATTCGCCTTATAGAGACCGCAAACCCAAAGGCTCAGCTTGGAAGTGCACGCATACAGGACAAAGGCATTCAGCTGCAAGAGTAAGCGTATTATATATATATATATATGTTAGGATATATATAAAATGTGGATATGAACCTCCCTTGACCAAGGTACCTCGCTAAGACTGTGCTGTATCGCACTCTGGTACCTTATAGTCTGATCAAACATGAAATTCAATAGATAATAGTCCATTACATGCACATAATAGTTCATCGCTCCGTAGAGAATCACATAGAAAGGCGAGTTAACGTTAGATGAGAAGAGTATTCCCCAATATCCATTAATCGCAAAGAAAGCCAAATTCTCAAAGCGCGCCGCCAGCATAAGCAGCTCATAGATCTTATTGAGTCTCAGTGTACAGCGACCCAACAGGCTGTGTAACATCCACAAATGCTGCAGCTGCTCCAGCTGGAGACGCGATGGAGACTCTTTGATCAGAGAATCCAGAAGCTGTGACAACTCCTTATTGAGACTCTGATAGCAAAAGGCGATGTCCCATAGAGCCAGAAAATAACGATGGACGGCGATCAGAGGAATATTCATGGCATTTAAGTAGAAGAACGCGCAGAGCATGACGCTGAACCTCTTCTCGTTCGGTATCACTAGGCAGGTTGACATGCCGAACAGGCAGATGATCAGAACAGAGCCCAACTTTAAATTATACAAATTGTCAAGAGTGCCGTCGACCGAATGCTCAACAACAAAATCTGGTGCTCGCTTCAATCTCTGCACGATTCCGTGCACCTTCAGCAGCGCCGTATCCCGACATGAACGTGTGATTAGAGTATAGACGATAGTGACATAGGACACCGTGAAGAGTATATATGTGGTGTAGGTCAACAAGTTTGGAAACCAACCAATTGTCCTGACGTACTGTGCTGACAGCCAGAATGCCAAAGGCAGCAGACTGAGCGTCAAGACATTCACGACCAGGACATAGCCGCGCGTTAGCCACGTCTCGCGATAACTCTGTGACACTCGAAAGTACGAGGTAACGCCTAGAATTAACGAATAGCTGTCATACAGACGCAAAAGCAACTCGCCGACCATGCTTAACGGACAATTTTACCCAACTGAATGTTATTTTCCTACTTAGCTAGGCCAAGGCCTAATTAGCAAATGATGATTGTATCTTGACTAGCGAATCGTCTGATCAAAACGGATAAATGGAGTCAAACCATGACTATTTACAGAGTATAAAGCATTAAAATAGTCTACTAGACTGCTCTTTAGATATCGAATCGATGATAACATCAATTCGGGGTATATTCTCTTAGTTGAAATTTGTGTAACAATACGAGTATACCTGACAAGAAATATATTCAGTAATCAAGGTACTCTTTAGTCTCTAGGTTTTATTTTTATTCATTATATTTTTCAGCAATTCACAGGTCCAAAAACGTTTCAAATCTGAACCCATATTCGTTTGATACTTGTCTTAAATTCCGCTGGACAAACAAACAGAAATATGCTGCCTGTCCTTTGATAATAATAAACATGAGCTTTTGGCTTGAACAAACAAATATTTATTCCGTAAGCCAACTGAAAAATACATGAGTCGCACTTCTTTCAAATGTGCTCGTGTTGGATGTTGTCTCTTCTTTTCGTTTGTTTTTGCTTTTGTTTCTGTTTTTGTTGTGGTGCCTAGCACTGGGCAAGAGTAAACATTAAATTAAACAAATTACAATTATTAATATAAATATCGCATTCACGTGGAAGATCAGCTTGCGTTCAACGGCTGAAGCAAGCACCCCATAAACTACCTCCTCCCCTCTCTCTCTCTATGTCTTATAAATTTAAGCGTATACGTGGAATCGTATTCACAGTGCGTTATACAGTTAGTAACGTTTTTATGTAAGGTCACTTAAGGCTACAAGATGTAACAAAGAAAGCATTCAACTGTTTTCAGTCCTTGCCGCCCAGCGAAAGGATCAGCTTAAGCAGTTCAGCTCGCTTGGCCTTCACCGTATCGATGTGCAACGTGGCCAGACCCTCAATCACCTCATAGCGATTCACATAGTCAGCTATATGATCGGTCATGCAGATGACGTGGATGCCACAGTCGTAGCCATTCGCCTGCTGCAGGCAACGCATCGGACGAAACTTTGCCTGCCGCACGCCCAGCAGTTCCTTCACTTTAGCCATCAGCTCCATGGAGGGGCCCGTATTATTGTTGCCATACGAGTCAAAGTGAAAAAACGTTTTCTCTGGTCGTGAGAACACCAACAGCGACCAATGGGTGCCGCCTGCCTCGGTGCTGCCATTGTCATTCAGTGCAAAAAATATGAATGGCTTATTCAGTGCATCGTGCTCCTCGAAGAGCATCTCCAGCTCAGAATCATCCATATATTTCATGCACTGCGTCACCTCGGGCGCTATAAAGTACAAGTCATTGTTGTTCTTGTACTTGACATGCGACAGATACTCATAGTAGAAGCTTAAGATCTGTAAGCAAAACATACAATATATGAATATACAGAGCTATTAGTTAATTAATTGAGCTATTTGCCTGATCGTTTAGCCAACGCGGTCCATGCAGCAGTTGGACATCGGACATGCGCAGACAGGAGTCGTGAAAGCTGAGAGATATTGGATCTGCCTTGCTCATCTTGTGATTGCTGTTGCTGTTATTAGTGTTATTGTTGTTGTTGTTGCTGCTGTGATGATTGTTGAGTCTTCCAGCGTTGAGTCTTTGGATAGGCCGGCGCGCAGTCTGACTTTGATTCTGACGTGCGTGTTGCCTGCAAAAGATGTTGCAAAATTAATGTGGTGCAATCAGTTCGCGTATTCTTGCTGCACCTTAATATCTTTCTGTCGTTTGGCAACATTTTACAAAAAATTTATACGTATGGGGATTTTCTTTTTTCTCTCCTTTTCTTTTTTGTAATAAACACAACTGAAGCAAACTCCAGCGAGCTACGAACTCCGAATATTACCTTTCAAAGCCAACGTTGTTATGTTAAGGCTATGTTATCTCAATGTTAATTGACATGTTTCCCTTTTCGCCGGCCGGCCGACCAAGTTGCCACAGTTATTGTACTTGCAAAATTATATGCTTAGTAATTAAAAAATAAGTATGCTGCGCAGCTAAAAATATCTCACAAGACAGTATTTCTATTTTCAAGTGTAGCAAATTATTATTTTAAAACGATATTTGAAGTGCCTTGTCAAGCCAACCATTACGAATTAATTTTGATTCATCACACAATCTCCATTTGTAATAAACAATATCCTATCGTTCTTTTTTAATTTGCTTGTATTTTAATGATTATTGATTCTAATAACAGCAAATAAAAACAATAACAACTAACACCAATCTTGCGGCATTATTCGGCAGAAAGAGCATAGCACAACAAAGGAGAAAAAAATGGAGCGAATTGACGTCGTATAAGAATCGGCATGAAAGGCAACACTTACCAAAAAATATGGCAGACCCCAGTTGAAATTTCTGTGAATTGATTGTGGGCTTTTTCGGCGCAGTGAATTTTAATGGGCTTATCATTGAAATCTTCGCAAGTTAGTAAAAAATTGAATGCGACCAATGCAAACACTATTATAATCAATAAGAATTAAACGATTGCGACTTGTATCTGCACTCTAGTTGGAAAATTGTTAGCAGCCAACTTAGTGCGAATCGAAAACTGCGCGCAGCCAACTTCAAGTAAGCTAAAAATTGCGTGAGGCCAACTTCAAGCGAGGTGAAAATATAGCGTGGCGGCAGAATTCAAAATCATTTGCTAAACACAATATATGTATTCAAAAACAAATTTGAAACAAACATTGTCACTTAGACTTTTAAAATGTTATATCCGATTCATAATAAATTTAAAATTTAAATATATTCATAATGTCCGAAAATGAAGGAAGTCTAACTAGGAGAATTGCATTTGTCAATCCAAATGATTTCGATTTAACCGATTGCTGTCGGATCTGTAAATGTCGAGCAACTACAGAAAATGGTATTAAATTACGTCCACTATTCAATGGCCGACGCCTAACACGCATTATAGCTAATACAATACACATTGAGGTATTTAAATTTATATATCTATACATCACTTAAGGGTAATTATAAGTAAGACCTTTGCCCAGATAAAAGACATTCAGGGCTTGCCGCGTTTTTTGTGTGACAAGTGTTTGGACGTTTTAAAAACGTTTTCAATTTTTCAAGTGGATTTCCGACGCTCCGAAGAGGATTTCAAAATGACAATCGAGGCACGGCGCACCTATCAGATGGATACTTTGATGGAATTTTCGTCGGCCATCGAAATGGAAAAGCAACGAGAGAATGATCAGAAGAACGCTGCACTTGTTACTAATTTTTTAAAGAAGGCAAAAAAAAATAACAAATCTAAACCGAAACTTCAAAATTGAAAATTAAGCAAGCGAAGAGCATTCATTTTAATCTATTTTATTATGTTTTTACCAATTTTAAAACTTTTTCTATCTATATTTAATATATTTTTCAATAAATTTAGCAACTTGGCTTGAAATCTTCCCGGCACATATTTTTCACCTCTAACACCTCAGGGGTCCGTGTGAAAGTGGACATGCATTTTCCGCGCATTTCATCTTCGGAGCTGGTTTCAGGGAACAACAAAGATCCATCGACAGATGTCCAGGCGCCCTTATGGATCAGATTATTCACCCATTTCAACTGCTTGTTGATCTGCGGTAAACAGTAAATTACATAGAAAGTTCAACTACTGAAATATTGAAACTGAATACCATTTTTTTCATTTTTTTCTGTTTTTTTATATTAAACAGATCAGCCGCAAAAGCAAAAATGTTTTTGGGTTTCTCTTTAACGGCTTGCATTACAATCACGCGAATTATAGCACGTACCTAAAAAAAAAGAACAAATAAATATTTTAAAATATTTTTATGTTGCTTAAATTACCTCTGGATGTCTTCCCAAATATGTCCAATCTCCTTTTCGCAAATTTCTAGAAATATTTTTAATGGCCTCATCAATAAGGTTCTCATGTTCATCAGTGATGGACTCTTCGGTAGTTTCCTGATGATGTGAATTTGAATCATTGCTGAGCTCCGACTCAAACATAAATTCCATTGTAAATTTGTTAGCTGGCAATTTGATAATCAGCCAAATTGTGTGTGTAAAACGACTTGTTTGTTGGCCAGTAAGTAGCGGCCTACCTTATAAACAAAAATTTAAACATTGGAAATATTTAGAAATTTTAATAAAGAAAAAAAAATCAACCCAACTCCGTGACAACGCATCGCAGCATTGCCGTGACCAGGATTCGAACCTGGGTTACCACGGCCACAACGTGGGGTCCTAACCACTAGACGATCACGGCTACGCTGGGTTGTTGAATGCTGCTGACTAAAACGCACTTTTGAGAGACATGCGCAAAAAGCACGCACATAAACTCAACTGAAAAATAGATTTTTGCCAAGCCAAAGAAAATACAACAAAAATTTATTTTATTTAAATTTATAATTAAATTTTTATTTTTAATTATATACTGAAATTCTTTAACAGTTTATATTATTAACGCTCTACTAACTATTCTCTATACGTAATTTATTTTTGCTATAACTGTTCAGACTTGCTTTTGTTTGCTGTAGCTGGTTTTGTTGCATTCAATCGCTCCCTGCGCTGCTTGAGTCGCTCCTGGAACTGAAACTTGAGCATTTCAATGGGTGTGTTTAGTGCAAAATGCATGTCAGGCAACTAACAAAATTAATAGATGAATTATTTTTTAATATATACATATCACTTTTACTTTTACTTACGTGATAGGTAGTCAATAGGAAGTTGCAACGCACTCGTTCATTGGCAATTCTCTGCACAACTGTTTGCATCTCGTCTGTGTTTATTAGATTTCCGATGACAACATTTAGCTTTTCGTTCTCCTTCACCAGTTGCTCTTGGGCTGCTGAAGTTTCATCATCGAGCGGTATTGTTTCAAATTGTATTTCATTTTCGAGTGCATTGCGTACTGTATGTTGCGTTTTTCGTGATCTATGGCGTCCTTGGTTTTTTGTTTGCATCTGATTAGAGCTGCTGCTGATGTTATTTTTTGTCTTTGGGGGAACACTGCCAGTTGTTTCGTATGATGCAGATCCCGGTGTTGTGGCTGTGACTGCCTCAGGTGCTGCAGTGGAAATCGAAGTCTTTCTTTGCTTTTCGGGTGTGTGCTCGTTTATTTCAGCAATGCTGGAAACTGATTTTGGTAAATCTAGCGTTGGTTCCGACATATCGTCGTCGGAATCGGGTATTTCAATAGCATTATACATCTTGTCGCACACATTGGCGCTGGTCTTCTTATCGTGTTAACTTGGGATTCATATCGCATAGTTATTTGTTTTCATTAATTCAGGTATCGATTAATGATAACTAATATATTTTGAAAGTATATATTTGTTAATAATTTTTACATTGAATAACATTTGCAAATAATATTTTATTGAAAATGTTCGGTTTTGATAACAAATCCAAGTTTTATTTCGTGGATAATTAAATGTAGGCAATTAAAAATAACGAAATAGTGTTACACATAGTATCGATAAGTATTTTTATATTTGCCAGTGCTGCCAGACACTTCCACAAAACAGATGCTTTGGCCGATTTTGTAACCAAACTGAATTTAACAATAATAAAATTTAGTCTGTCAGTGAATAACAAGAAATACTAAAAAAATGATGCGATACGAGGGGAATGAAAAGCTGGCGGATGAAACATCTTGCGCTGGGGTTCGTGCAGATCTGAAAATGTGTCTGCTAGAGAGCGAGTGCTGCCGCTTAGATAAAAAGACACCACGACAGTGCCTGCAGGACAATAGCGTACCACCCGAGTGTCAGGTACTGCGCAACACCTTCTACGAGTGCAAGCGCTCGCTGGTGAGTACCTAATTGGTGTGAGATTATCTACAGAATAAAAACTACGCTTGCATAATTTCAGCTTGATAATAGACAACGTTTTCGTGGCCACAAGGGATACTGAGGGAACCTTGAACTTATATTTATTGTTACTTAGCTTTTATTGAATACAAAAAGAAACTAGACACAAATTGAGCATATTAATTACGACGGCGACGCACGCGCGATATCCGCCACGCGTTTGGCTCTTCGTACTTGTTGTAGAGCGGCTCCAGTCGTTGGTTCTTCTTGAATTTGCTGAGTTTGGTAGGATCAGAGAAACGGAAAAAGGATGGTGCAAACTCCACTAACCATTTGGGATCAATAGTTGTTACTTCGCGCATATACTCCTTTGTCGTTTGCACCAGCTCATGGTAGATAACCCATTCGGGCTGTCGATTAAATAGAGCGCTAGATGGGTGTATATAAACTACTTGCGAATCAACAAGGGTGCGATAGCCTTCTTGTGGATCCTTTTTGGCTGCATTTCTAAAGAACCCGGAGCATATGGCTTTTTGTATGCGCACCGAATTCTTGCCAGCTGAAACAACGTCTAGCTTATGGCGATCCATGATGCCGAGCAGTTGCTTCCGTACATCCTGCGAACGTTTCAGCGTGCGGATTTGCACAAAGTTCTCATAGCACCAGGCGTTCGAGAATTTGTTGTTCTTCCAGCTGTTATATACCGCCAGCAGAGTTAGATGATCACCTACAGGGATAACAATCAGATCAGCTTTTTTTATCTACAGCTATTTATATAGTAATGACTTACCCTCTGCTTGATTAAACTTGGCCTTTTTCTGATCGGCCAACGCCTGTTTATCCTTGGGTCTATAAAACACGTTCTGTACGCTGAGCATTGAGACAATTGTTAGGATCTCATCCGAGCACTGAAGCGCAACAGACATGATGAGCATCTTCGATAGATTTGGCTCGAGGGGAAACTCAGCCATGCGACGACCAAGACGTGTTAACAGACCCTCATCATCGAGCGCAGAGAGCGAATGTAGCTGCTCTAATGCCATGACCAACGACTCAACAGGTGGCGCGTCCATGAAATCAAAGTGCAGCAAATCATTGATGCCCATCGTTTTCAGCTGCAACACTGTGGTGGCCAGATTTGTACGTTGGATCTCTGGCACTGGTGTTGGCAGCATCTCATCCCGATAAGCGCGCTCCGTGTAGAGGCGATAGCATTTCCCGGGCCCAGTACGGCCAGCACGGCCGGCACGCTGTTTTGCAGCTGCCTGGGAAATGGGCGTGACCACAAGGGAATCCATGCCCGTCTTGGAATTGTATACCTTCTGTTTAACAAAGCCGGGATCGACCACATAGAAGATACCATCGATGGTAAGCGATGTTTCCGCTATATTCGTAGCAATCACCACTTTGCGACTGCCCGCGGGTGCTGGATCGAAGATGCGGGTTTGCATCTCGGAAGGAAGTGCTGAATACACAGGCAGTATGATTAGCTCGGGAACATCTGGACCCAAGCTTTTCATGCGCTCGTAGAGTATCTCGCAGGCGGTGTCAATCTCCTCCTGTCCTGTTAAGAAGAGCAGTATATCGCCGGGTGGCTCACGCAAATGGATTTGCATTACAGTTATAAGTGACGCATCCAAGTAGTCCGTCTCTGGTTCCTTAGTGTACAGTACTTCCACGGGAAACGTGCGTCCAGGTATCGTAAAAATAGGAGCTTCAAAGAAATACTGCGAAAACTTCACCGCATCCAACGTGGCCGATGTGACAATCAGCTTAAGTTCAGGTCGCTTTTGGACGGCCGTCTTCAGCAGCCCGAAGAGTACATCTGTGTGAATCGTACGCTCGTGAGCTTCATCCAACATGATGACAGAATACGTCTTCAGCTCCGCCTCCATCAGACACTCGCGCAACAACATACCGTCCGTCATATACTTGATTACTGTCTCCGGGCTGGTACAATCCTCGAAACGTATCGTATAGCCCACCTCCTGGCCCAGTCGGCAGCCAAACTCCTCGGCCACTCGCTTAGCCACCGACATGGCAGCCACACGACGAGGCTGGGTGCATCCAATCTTACCCCTGGCCGTAAATCCACACTCGCCCAGATACTGTGTAATTTGTGTGGTCTTGCCGGATCCCGTTTCGCCAATGACAATGAGAATTTGATTATCAGTGACGGCCTTGATAAGATCGTCACGGAGCTTATAAATGGGCAGAGATTGGCGTTGCTCGACGAGCGTCAGATCGGTCTTCTTGCCAAAGGAGGATTTTTTGCCCCCGATGACGTGTTTCTTCCACTCAGGCACTTCCTGTGGAGCGGCGCCCATGCCGCGCATATTGGCTGCCAGATGACGTGAAGAATCATCCTCGGGCAGCGGATCGATCCAGTTCTTGTTGAGATTGCTGGGTACTGCTTCCATTTCCTGTTCCCGCTGTAACATTTTCTGTTCACGTCGCTCCTTCGATAAGGCGGACTGCATCATCGCTGCCTGGGCGAGCGAGCCATCTGGATTTTTAACTATTCGCACGGGCGACAGGTCATGCAATGCTCGTCCATGTCCAGAGAGGAAGGGAGGCTCCTCCTCCACAATTTCTATTTCAATATCCGCTTCGTCGTCCTCTTCCTTGGGCAGTAGCCCAGTCTCCTCATCAAAATCAGGCATTTCGCTGCGGTCAAGCACACCCGAGCTAATCATCTGCTTTATCTCCCAACGTTCAGGACTGGAGATGCGCGTCACTCGCTTGCGGGACTCGTGCTCATCGCCATCAATGTTGTTGCCTTGCAGATTGAGCATGGAGGAGGTGCTGTTGTAAGGTCCATCGGGATTGCGATCCCGTAATGCCAGCTCATCCTCCTCGGGTGCATGCGACAGTGGATTGAGATCTCGCCCAGACTCTTGATCGACCTCCTTCATTGACAGCGATACCTTTTGGCCAGTCAGCGACATCACCTTCACTTTCACTGTCTGATTGCGTGCCACCACCTCGGTGACATCGGTGACGCGTCCTTCGGCGCGTAGCTGCGAGATATGCACCAGACCCTCCCAGCGTTTGCGCAGGCCGAACAGCTGCACGAAGCAACCAAATGGCACGATGTTCGCTACCTTTCCGGAGTAAATCATACCGAGCTCTGGATCATCGCTCATCCCAGATGCTGGTGGTGGCATTTTCTCCTGCTGTGCCTGCTGTTGATGGCGACTGCTGCGCTCGTGAGAACGGGAACGGGAGCGTCGTCTGCGTTGCTCGTGTCTGTCGTGACGCTCTCGGGAACTGGAGCGACGTTTTCGATGGTCACGATCATGATCATGATCACGTTTCTCTCGAGACCTGCTACGCCGGCGACGATGTTCCTTATCTCGCTCTCTATCCCTATTTCGTTCCCTTTCTCTGTGGTTATCCTTATCTCGTTCTCTATGCTTATCGTTCTCCCTTCTCCTATCCCTATCTTGTTCCCTTTCTCGATGCCTATCCCTATCCCTATCGCGGTCTCTCTCGCGACTGCGACTGCGTTCTTTGTTCTTGTGGCGATCACGTGAGCTACTACTGTTCTCTTTTACTGACTGTTGCTCCTTTCGGTCGCCAGGCTCCAGAGCCTCTAGTTCCATCATGGCCGCATCCACATCGCTCATTTCGTTTTTCCTTATTTTCAACTTGTGCTTGGGATCTTCGTCTTCGCTCGCCCCGTCCTCGCCAAGCTTGCTGCTGTATTTGTCATTAGGCAGAGCTAAGCCGGGAAACATTTTCATTAGTTGCGATTTTTTGTCTCCCTTGCCTTCCTCTCCAGCCGGTATTTTAGCATCGCCATCAGCTCTACTAGGTCGCATTAAATTAATGATACGCTGCAAATTTTGCACTAGAGAATCGGGAAATTCAGCACCATTTTCCAGTAGCGCTTTACGAAACGACTCGTAGCTGCGGTGCTTGTGCTCCAAATCTATGATGAACTCGGCTAAATCTTTGTCGTTAATACCCAAATGGTTATCAAGCTCTGTGCAGATTTTTGACACCAGCGAAAGGTACTCCAGCTGTTGCAGTTCGTCCATATTGCATTATGAACATAAGAACTACAATATTTATATACCTAATTTATAAAATCCACAGAAAACGTTTGGTAAGATAAGTGAAACAAAAAAACACGCAAGCCAACTAGTGATGAGCGCGTGCAAGCCAGCGTCATAACACGATTACACTGTGTGCTAAATATGTACCAATATCTTTTACTTTATATTATCATAAAACGACGTTGATATATTTTAAAATAAATTTTAATAAATAAACACATTAAATTATTCATATAATCATCAAAACTTCTTTAAAGTCCACAAATATCGACTCTAATTTTTGTGAAACAACTTTTTGTACTACAGTACACAGCACGCAGATATTTCAAACATCAACGAAACAGCTGCTTTGGACTAGTGCTGAAAAATTCGGTTGGCGCAATGAGTGGCAACAATTTTGTTGACATATTTTGAACAAGCTACGCCAACTTTTGTTTTTGTTTGTATATTGCTTACAAATTTAAAAACATCCGTATGAGTTACACTAAAGTACATGTTATGTCTTAGTTCACCAAATGTTATAACAATTTATTGCAAAGCAGTGGGCATCGAACCAAATACATATGTGGCGAAATAAATCACTTAACCGGCACTAAATTTCAAGCCTTACGGTTGCGGGATAATAACATATTTTTCCAGTCCAACCAATGAGACATAGTAAACCTTTTGATTTAACAAATTTACATACGCTATATGTTTGTATTATTGCATGACACCACCAGGAGCGCTGAAAAAGACCAAAATTAATAGAAACCTGCAAAAAAACTACTAATAGTAGCTGCAATGTAGGTGCTCCAAATTTGGATGAAATTGATTGTTAAGTTCGGCAGCTGTTGAAGCTCATACATTTTTCATTATGGACTCAACTAATACATTTTACATTGAATTTATAAAATCCGCACAAAGCGAGTGGCAAGTGAAGTGAAACAAAACAAAAACAAACAAGTTAACTAGCGATGAGTGCGTGCAGCCACACGCCTTATCACGTTTACCCGGCGTGTACAAATGTACAAACACTAGCTCATTATTAAATAGTACCATTACTTGTGTTTTAGTAATATTTACATTCGTTAAAATTTGATAAGATGTGGAAAAATCCATAATTCCAACTGTCATTTATAAGGTGAAAAATTTTGAAGTACAGTGCAAGGCAAGACAGACTGTCATATCAAACATCAACAAAACAGCTGGTCTGAAGCAGTGTTGTAAAACTCCGTTGGTGCATAGTATGGCAACACTTTTGTAATCTTGACATTTTGATCAAGCTACGCTCGCTTTTTAATGTTTTGTATATTGTTTATAAGTTTCAAAACATCCGTTTGAGTTCGAGTGAGATATTGTTTATTAACCGCTTCGGAAATGTCTTCGTTCATCGAATGCTTTAACAATTTCGTGCAAAGTGGAGGGCACATTTCGCAAAATGTGGCCCATGAAGATGCCGAACAGCATCACTCGAGTAATACAAATATTCTTCCTGCAACGCCTACGCCCAGTGATACAGTAAGTGATGTCTTATTATACTGTACTATTATTATATTGGTTAATATGTGCGCTGAATAAATATATAAGTTTAGGGCACTTGATTGCAAAGCTTGAGGTTGCCAGACTTGCGCGACAATTACATGTATTTTTAGTCAAACCAATGTGGCAACGCCTTACGTGCACGCCATGTTTTAATTGCAAAGACGCAGGCAGTGATTTGTTGAGGAAAACGTAAAAAACACGAATTAAAAATAAAAAAATATCCGAAGACGACATAGATAAAAATTTAATTAACATATATACAAGTGTTACAAGTGTGTGTGTGTATTGCAAGACACCGCTAAGAGCGCTGCAAAGCAGCCCAGAAAGAAGAAGACAAGTCTGCAGTCAGCGAGTAACCAAATAAAACAAATTAAGCCAAACAAGAACTACACACAAAATGCTGCAAATAAAACAAACGAAAAACAATAAAAATGAAATTATTGTGGTCGAGAAGAAACCAAAGATGCCGTCGGCCAACACAAACACCTCGATTATTACATATAGTCCGAGCAAATTTATTGCCAGGGCTGGAACACCATACACAAAAATTCAAACCCACACACATACACATGCAAACACAAACATAGCCAGAGCGTCGGCTCCATCGGCAGCAGCAACAACAATAACAACAGCTAAAATGCCAACAACAGCTGCAACCGCTAATACCTCTTACTATGTGGTTAAGGCGGGACAGTTGGGCAGCGCGGCATCAATATTGAGCTCGCCGCCAAAAGCAGCGACGGCAGCCGCATCCGCGTCTGCAACGATTTCAACAGAGAGTGTAATAATACTTCAATAGCCATTCTCCAACTCCTTCACTTCAGATTTCAGATTTATTCTGCATGAGTCAATCACTTCAGACATCCAATTCCATTTGCCTTATTATATGATCACTTTTGATTGCTTCTAATACATATATATTATATGTTTGCAGTCTAGCACCATTTCGGCACCCAGTGAAACCTCCATGGAGCATACTTATATGCGCGATGCTCCTCGTCCGGACAATACAATAAACAATGGTTTGGCACCCGCTCGCACTATTCTCGTTCGTCATGCACCGCAGTGCCCCACCTGCCACACATATCCAGCTCACGACGATTCGGGGGACTCACAGCAAACAGCCCATATACCAGCTTATGATGAAATTGCGGCTAAGGAGCTGATGAACGAGTGCGCACGCATTGCCAAGTATGTTCGAAATAATAATTCCGATGAACAGGACTGGCAGGAACGCATCAGTCGGTAAGCAGTATACGATACATATTTTTCCATAATCAATAGCTTATCTTCACAGCATTGGCTGGACAACTATGCAAGAAACGCTGTTTGATAAAGTTGCTACTATATTGGATCAGGACCAATTAGCTCGTTTGGCCAACGATAAGCGTCAACATGAGGCAGTGCACCGACGGGTGGCTGTTGACAAGTCTAGTTCGCGTATGCGACGTGCTTTGGCCAGCGTTGCTTGGGAGCCACGTACGACACAGTGGCTGCATGCGCTGCTCATGGAGCAGCTTCCACCTTCCTATATGGCTTCCTATTTGGACATTATGCAAACGCTTAAAAGCAAGCTGCCAACACTCGTTGATAAAATGCTCTTTAGTCGTCCGCTGAACAATTCCCAAGAGTTACTTGCTCCTGTGATGAAGAAGCGCTGGCAACCGGATATTTTGGCCAAATCGAGGCATTTGGCACACAATGCCATTATGGTTGCAGTGCCAAATATGCCCGCTAGTGGCAGCGTGCCGCAGCGTATGCAAAATTGGTATGAGGCCTTGGCGAGCATAACACAAATTGTCCAGATTGTTCTGCCAAACACGAGTAAGTGGTACATATTTCTTACAACTATATATATGTATTATTGCAAGTATTACTTACAGACGATCGCATTGGAGGCCAAAATTTGGATCAAGTGGCCGAGACGATTGTCTCGCTGACACGCGTCCGTATACACGAGCTACGCACCGAAAATCCTCATCGTGGCATCATTCTAATAGGTTTTAATGCAGGGTCTGCACTTGCTCTGCAAGTTGCCATGTCGGAGAGTGTTGCGTGTGTAATTTGCATGGGCTTTGCATATAATACGCTACGCGGTCCACGCGGAGCTCCCGATGATCGTCTTCTGGACATCAAGGCACCTATTTTGTTTGTCGTCGGCCAGAATGCGGCACGCAGCAGCCAGGAGGAAATGGAGGGTTTGCGTGAGCGAATGCAATCTGAATCCTCGCTAGTCGTCGTCGGTAGTGCTGACGATGCATTACGAGTTCCTAAAAGCAAGCGTCGCATCGAGGGCGTAACCCAAGCTATGGTCGACTCTATGGTTGTGGTGAGTCTTCACAAGTTAATTACCAATGGACAGAAACAATGTATATAACCCAATAATTCCCAAATCGTTTTGCAGGATGAGGTTTATGAGTTTGTCAACAAGACTTTGAGCAATCCACCAGGTCCTCGCATGCCCACTTCTTTGCTAGGTAGTAACTCATATCAACGACAGCCCAAGCAACAGCAGCATATTTTGGCTGATGGTAATATGAACAAGTCGCAGCTTGCACCAGCACGAAAACGTAAAGCACATGACGGAGGGCAGGAAGAGGGCTGTATGCAGGCCGCCAAATCTAAAATTGTGCCGCACAGTGAGTCGTACTTTCAACTCATTCATACTAAATTGTTTTATTTAATCATTATTATGTGTACCCGTAATCCAAACGATTTACCTTTGCATGTTGCCATCATCTACTATCCACTCACCAATCCACCTACTAATTTCACTAATCAAAAATAGAAGCTCGCGTGCCCAAATTGCCCAAACCAAAGCCGCCACGCCTCATTGATCCGTTTGCGGTGAAGCGAAAGGGTAAATCATGGTCTGAAGATCAGGGATCGTAACAGTTATAAGTCTGATACCACTACAAACCTACAGTGAAAACTCTCTAAACGGACAACTTTTATTGGTTGCCTGATCCCTGTTCCATTGACCCTTCACTGTATTTTTTTATTTATCATTATCATATCCTTCATTTATTTATTTTCTTTTTTTTTTAATTTAATCATGCATGATATTTGATTTCATTACTGACTTAATTTGAGCGTACATCATACTCATAATTTATATTTACGGTCCCTGTCTTAAAATGCTGATCATTCCATCCCGTTTCATCGACTAACAGTACGCATCTCCACAGTTGGGCGCCCACGCACGCGTCCACTGCCTGGTGGCGTGCCAGCAGCTGCGATCAAGCCAAACCTATTAGAGAAGCATGTGCTGACCAATGAGGAGATGAATATGTCTATTGAGTCTATGCTGGAGGAAACACTTGACTATGATGATAATCAGCAACACGTGTCAGCTCCTGCAACTGCTGTGGGAAAGCAATCGCAGTCGAATGTTATTAAGCCCGTGTCGACGCCAACCACTGTGGCGCTCTCAACAGGGACAAAGATCAAGATGATACCATCCAGCCAGTTTGTGCAACTGAAGTCGCTGCCGACGCAAAATAAACTGGTGAACTACACTATCAGCAAGAGCAGCAACATAAGCAGCACCCCCACAACTGTGGCCAGCACAAGCATTGGTAGCATTGTTAAGACTCTGCCAGCTTCCAGTGGTCAACAGATTTTTACCCTTAAGACTCCGTCGGGCCTTACAACGCAATTTGTTACCGCTGCTAGTGGCAACACATCAACGGCTGCAACGGCGGCAGCAGCGGCGGCACAGCAGAAGTATACTGTGGTCAAGAATGCCAGCGGAATAACCATGCTTCAAATGACCAAGAATGTGTCGAATACGCAGTCAACTGTAGGTAACAATATGGATCTGTCGAATATTATAGACATGCCAATTGTGTTTGCGGACAATGAAGGCAACTTTGCCGAGCAACAGCAGCAACAGCATCAGCAATCGGAGTCTATTAAAACTGGTAAGTAGTCCTTTAAAATCTCCAATAAGCTGAATATATATTGAACATTCTTGCAGCAGCGAACAGCCCCTTAATCATCAGCCAGAAGATCATCAAGGAAGCAACCAATCCACAGATTAAGCCAACCAGTATTGTGACCAACAGCAAAGGCATTGTGATTAATAAAGGCATTCAGCAGCTGTTTACCACAACATCATCAACTGGAAATAAGCTTGTCTATTTGAATCGCAGCAACATGAAGCCAATGGGCACTGCAGCGGGAACCACAACCGCAGCTACAGCGCGTCTGCCAAGCGTTGGCACGCCCCTTCCTATACGCATTGTGAGCAGCACTAAGCCTGCAATGAGCACAAACACCACGAATAGTCCCTTACTGCTTGATGGTGCAAATATGAAAACTTTGAATTTGCAAGCAATTAAGACAACAGCGGGCACGCCTGTACTAAATACTGGCACGACGGGCGCACTGCGTCTGGGCAATAAGACTTATCCGCAATTTCAGCTTATAAACAATCCAGTTATTGGCTCCAATGTGACGAATGATGGCAAGCAACAGCAGCCGTTACGCAACATATACTTTAAATCCGCCACAGGTCTGAAGCCCGTGCAAATGTTGTCCAACCGATCGCCGGCAATACCAACCATAGCGCCGGGCGGTGCTGCGGTACGCCGCGTGTTAAACATTGGTCCCATCACGAAGCCCACCACTGTGACAGTCAAGGATTCTAAAATCATTAAGGCATCACCGACGACAGCAGCATCCGTAACAATAGCGACAGCAGCTACAACGACGACAGGCTCCATAGGAACACTTCCACAAAGCAAGGCCTTGGAATAGTAGCCATTCTGCAAGCCTCTGTCTCCCGCGCCTTCTTTGTTGAGTTTACATTTAAATGTACTTGAACTCTAGAATCCATAAGATATATAAGCCATAAGTTATTATATAACAGTTGTGTAAATAGAACATGTTGATCTTTTAAATATACATATGTTCATAATTTAAGAAAGTGTTTCTAACATTAATATGAGTACAGAAAACTCGCATGAGCGGAAATGTATTAACTTTGAATCACGCATTTTGTGCTATGAAATGTTCTGGAACTGTCGGCCGTTCGGGAAAGCGAAAAAGCTGATGTTATATTCCAAATGCAATTTAACATGACCTGTTAAAGTAGTTGTCCAATAAGGCAAGCTCTCGTTAAGGAGAGCTTTTGAAATGAATTTTGGTGTTCAAATCTGGATTTGATGTCGGCCGTCGTTCTAAGAAGGCAACGTCGACCGCAGAGGAAGCGAAGTCGTAAGGTGATTTCCAAGACTCTTACACAAGACCATAAATTCCAGTTAAGCAATATTAACAAAACACCTTCATATTGACAATTTGCATGCGTAAAACGGAATTCAAGCAAGAATTTCAAAATATACATAATTATTTGAACGTTAAGCGTTTGTGTTACGTAAGTTACGTTTCACACGCTGCACTGGGTTAGTGCTTGTCAAACTGTAGACAGATAGAAGCATTTCCTTTTTTCGCTGAACTCGGCATTTTGTTGTTGCATTGCGCTCGTAAGGCATCGAAGTGGGGTAGTTTGATATTGGTATAAGTTGCCGGCAGTCATCTGATTTTATTGATATATAATATTTTCGTATGCCTTAAATATATTTCAACATATATATTTTTAGAAAAATTAAAAGAAAAACATTTTATTTGGTATATTTAATTTAGATCTTATATATATTTTCAACCAGAAAAACGTGGGCTGGAAAATGAAATAATTGAATCTAGTTTCACATTTTAAATTTTAAAAAATTTTCAGATCATTTCTTCAATGAAATTTAATTTGGCTTGAGCTTGAGAAGCGCTTCTTCTTTCACTTCATTAATAGACTTTGTTTCATGAATATGTTCCATAGTTTAAGAGTTTGATAATAATTTTGGAAAAAAGGGTATCTCCTAATTGGTATTTGAACAATTGCCCTTCGAATCGGGCTGTTGCATGCGACGCGGCTAATATTTCATTGAAGTGCAGTGGAGCAGAGCAACAAGTGCAGCTACAACATAAGCTAATGCAAATGCTTAATGTTTTTTTGTTGTCTGACAAAAGTTTTCGATAATTCAGCAAAAATTTGAGTTCGAAGGAGAAGTACGAGGAAGAACATAAGACAGGCAAGCTAAAGGCAAAGCCGAAGGCAAGAAGCATTTTGTTGAGTCTCCCCACTCACATATACATATATATATATATATATATATATATATATATATTGTAAGTCGTCTGATATATTTAATTACATTTATGTACAGTTCCACAATGTGAAGTTTTTTGTGGTTGAGTTGCCAAAGTCGATTTCCGAGCTCCCAACTCGAGGCTAGCCTTTTAGTAACGCGGCCACGTTGAACGTGTGAGGAGCGAGTGGCTAAAAGAGCTTGTTAAGTGACAGTAATAATTAAAATATATAGACAAAGTGATAAAGCAATTTTTTTCAATTTCAACTTCAATTTTAAATTTAACGGAATATTTCCAAAGACGAAATTCTGAAATTACACAAAAAGACTGAACCCAATTAATTTGTTTAAAACTTTTTTTTTACTTTTACAAAAAAAGGGTAACATGTAGCTTATTAAGTGATCGAAAATCATGTTGAGCTACTTTTTCTATTCAATTCTTCAAAATATGTTAGCTTTGGAAATTGTTACTTTGACTTAAATTGGCTTACGCAATTGTAAAACGCAGTTCGAACTCCAATTCCCAGGCTCAAAAGTCACACAAAATGCCAAAACGCAAATCGAATTTGATTTTTGGGCTGCTGTACGTTTTTTTGCCATGTGCAGATATGTCAAATATATATATATAAATATTTTGCTTAAACATTTTTTGCCACCTGCGGCTTGAGCCGTTTAATTTGCGCCAATTTGTTGGCTCCTATTGCTGCCCCACGAGTTGCCTAGCCACAAGCGAAGCCAAGCCAAACCAAGATCTCAAATTCGACTGCAACTGCGACGGCAACAGTCAAATTGCAACTTCGACATGTTCGCAATTTTTAAATTAATTTCTTAACATCATTTTCGCTAGTTTGCAGCGCTTTCAAGCTCGAGTGATATATGTGATATATGTGCTTATTCCATGATTGACATCGTATTCGACCAGCTCTGGCAGCAGGAAGCACTTTACTAAAATTTGATTTACTTTTAAGTGCGTACTTGAGGTGTAGACAAATAAAGGGTTTGTCTGCAGAGACAGAGAGAGAGAGAAGGATATGCACAATTAATCAGGGTAAAGTAGTTACAGTGAAGACTCTTTTAATGAACATCTGTATTAAAAGGAAACTTATTCTTCAGTCGCTTAGCATTTTGGTTCAGTTTGATGCTCTACACTCGATATAACGGTATCTTAAGAAACTGCATACATAGTCCGGAACATATATCAAGCTCTGTAGTCTTTGATATCATACAGTGTATATGATATAAAGAATTGAATTTTGTTATAAGTTATGTTATGTTTCATTCTATTCACACATAGATTATATATTACCTATAATTATATATTATCTATAAGTGTTTTCTCTTTAATATTAATAGTTTGAAATCTTTTAATATTATATTATATTCCTAATAATTAATTTTATGTGTTACTATAAGATATAAACATATTATATTCTCAGAAAAAAAAGTAAAAGAAATCCAATTTAATTTTCTAATTTAAGATTTTTATTATAAAAACTAGTAGGTGAAGATAGACCTAGCGCATAGTCTGCTTTATCAGCTAAATATTAATATATGCTATATAAAAGTTCAACCAATAATTTCTTTCACATTTATATTTAAACTTAAGTTCTATAAAATACAAATCCTAATTTGTACATTAAAGCAAAGTTTCACTTTAACTGCGTTCTACAGCGCAAGCCTTTAGAAAGTGAATTTCTGATAAGAATGCTAGCACGTCCTTTCAGGCAGGACTTCCCCACTCCCTCGGCTACTCAATCATTGCTGCATAATCAGATGGTCGCTTGGCAGCAAATGCTGCTATTTGCGTATGAAAAATATTGAAAGTGCCCCCAAGCACACCCACACACACATAGAGAAAGTCCCTCATTTTTGCCTTCACACTAAGAGTGCATTGAAAGCAGGACAAATAGTTGCGAAAGAGGCAGAGAGTGAGAGAATGATAGAGAGTGTGAGAGAGAGAGGAGAAGAGAAAGCAATGATAGTAGCATTTTGGTTTCCACCCACGTTTCGCGTTGCATTTTCACATCATTTGCATTTTATTAAGCTTCCCAAATGGTGGGCGGGCGGGCATGGGTGTGGCGTGGCATGCCACATTTGTAAAACAAACTATCAGCAATGGCAGCGACTGATGCCAAAAATCAAATCCCCCTCTTCAACTGCGCTTTTATTAGTATTTGTGCAAAGGATTTGCAAGATATGCAAGAAAATCCTGCTCTTAGCGAACTTCTCCACTCACAAATACTAACTAAACTGAAAATAACGCGGAAAAACGTGAAAAACGATTCGGGAATTGGCCACTACCTCGCACTCACGTGATGCACTCAAAATGCCGACGACGACTTGAAAAATTCCATTTTCTCGTTTTCCTTTGTCGTTTTGCGTTGATTTCATATTTCATGTGATGTGACGTAGTGGAACATTCCTGACGTTTGCCCCAACAATCCGCAAGTGCTAAATAACCCCAAAGGACTAAAACAACCAAATGGAAGCTGATGATGATGATGATGATGATGCTGCTGCCGCATAGCTCTATCAAATGTCAGGACACAAGGTAAAAGAAGTAACGTCCTCTTAGCTGGCGTTTGGCTGCGATTGAGATGATGAATGGAAAGTGTCTGCCTGTACGCAGTTTGGCAAGCACTGAGACAGACAGTTTGCTGTAAATATTTTAAAAGCTAAAAACCAATCAAATTACGAAATATGCTGCACACAAAAATTGATTTATAAAACTTAAATAAAATTAAAATTTAAATTTAAAAATTATTAATGAAATATTTTGAATTTGATTACAAAAGAATAATTTCCATTAATTTTAAAAACTTATATAATAAATTATATTATTTTATATATTAAAATTTATTATAATATTAAATTATATTAATTTTGTTACTTTGCAGTTAATTATAAAACAAAAAAATTAATAAATATAAAATTATACTAATCTACTAATTTAAGCCCAATTCAATTAATTTTTAAAATTAATAAATATTAATTTAAAAATGTGATTTAATTTATAATAAATATTTTGGAATATATTTTAAATATAAATTGATTTTTTATATACAATTTTCATTTCCCATATTCTAGAGCTAAACAAATCACGCGCCCATCTCCAAAAAGAGCTGCCATTCGTTCTGAGCTGAGAGCGACTAGAGATGAACGCTCAAGCTGCGTTGATGCGTGCTTGCTGCTCTGCTGTTGGAGTTGCTACCACATCCTTCGCCGCCTTGTGGGAGTCGCTGGCCGAAAAGTTTGACAAGCACAAAGGCCGCCAGAGACAAGGACAACCTTGAGGCAGTTAAAAATAACAATCCGCCGTGTCCCCAAGGCTTTGAAATGAAGCAGCAGAGTTGCCCTGGCAAAGCCTCCCGCCATCCTCTGCTAACTATACTCTTGAATAATATGAATTACAATGTGATTGCCGGCGCGTAATACGCTCAAAGCGAACCCGCATTTTGGCCAGGTATGCGATTGTTGTTGTTGCTGATGCTGCTGTGGCTGTTGTTGTTATTTCTGCTGAGCTCGCAACGTGACAGTTAACAGCTTGAAATCTTGGTTTTTACATAAATTTATTGCCTAATTCCTTAGTTGGTGACCGCACAAATATTTTGCATAATTCTCATCCCAACTGATTTAAGATAAAAGACCAAAACAGATGCACAGAATCTTTTGGCGGAGCAGCAGCTGTAATGAGAAGTAAAAGGTGTGTCCGACTAGAAGATATCCAGAGACCCC